TTTGTATGTAGAGTACAGTTTGTGTGTGATTCACGTGTCGGTGTAGTTTCTTGTATGTAGAGCACAGTTTGTGTGTGATTCACGTGTCGGTGTTATTTCTTGTATGTAGAGCACAGTTTGTGTGTGATTCACGTGTTGGTGTTGCTGTAGTTTCTTGTATGTAGAGCACAGTTTGTGTGTGATTCACGTGTTGGTGTTGTTTCTTATATGTAGAGCACAGTTTGTGTGTGATTCACGTGTCGCTGTAGTTTCTTATATGTAGAGCACAGTTTGTGTGTAATTCACGTGTCGCTGTAGTTTCTTATATGTAGAGCACAGTTTGTGTGTGATTCACGTGTCGCTGTAGTTTCTTATATGTAGAGCACAGTTTGTGTGTGATTCACGTGATGGTGTAGTTTTTTGTATGTAGAGTACAGTTTGTGTGTGATTCACGTGTCGGTGTAGTTTCTTGTATGTAGAGCACAGTTTGTGTGTGATTCACGTGTCGGTGTTATTTCTTGTATGTAGAGCACAGTTTGTGTGTGATTCACGTGTCGTTGTTGCTGAAGTTTCTTGTATGTAGAGCACAGTTTGTGTGTGATTCACGTGTCGTTGGTGCTGAAGTTTCTTGTATGTAGAGCACAGTTTGTGTGTGATTCACGTGTCGTTGGTGCTGAAGTTTCTTGTATGTAGAGCACAGTTTGTGTGTGATTCACGTGTTGGTGTAGTTTCTTGTATGTAGAGCACAGTTTGTGTGTGATTCACGTGTTGCTGTAGTTTCTTGTATGTAGAGCACAGTTTGTGTGTGATTCACGTGTCGCTGTAGTTTCTTGTATGTAGAGCACAGTTTGTGTGTGATTCACGTGTTGGTGTAGTTTCTTGTATGTAGAGCACAGTTTGTGTGTGATTCACGTGTTGCTGTAGTTTCTTGTATGTAGAGCACAGTTTGTGTGTGATTCACGTGTTGCTGTAGTTTCTTGTATGTAGAGCACAGTTTGTGTGTGATTCACGTGTTGGTGTTGCTGTAGTTTCTTGTATGTAGAGCACAGTTTGTGTGTGATTCACGTGTTGGTGTTGCTGTAGTTTCTTGTATGTAGAGCACAGTTTGTGTGTGATTCACGTGTTGGTGTTGCTGTAGTTTCTTGTATGTAGAGCACAGTTTGTGTGTGATTCACGTGTCGGTGTTATTTCTTGTATGTAGAGCACAGTTTGTGTGTGATTCACGTGTCGTTGTTGCTGAAGTTTCTTGTATGTAGAGCACAGTTTGTGTGTGATTCACGTGTCGTTGGTGCTGAAGTTTCTTGTATGTAGAGCACAGTTTGTGTGTGATTCACGTGTCGTTGGTGCTGAAGTTTCTTGTATGTAGAGCACAGTTTGTGTGTGATTCACGTGTTGGTGTAGTTTCTTGTATGTAGAGCACAGTTTGTGTGTGATTCACGTGTTGCTGTAGTTTCTTGTATGTAGAGCACAGTTTGTGTGTGATTCACGTGTCGCTGTAGTTTCTTGTATGTAGAGCACAGTTTGTGTGTGATTCACGTGTTGCTGTAGTTTCTTGTATGTAGAGCACAGTTTGTGTGTGATTCACGTGTTGCTGTAGTTTCTTGTATGTAGAGCACAGTTTGTGTGTGATTCACGTGTTGGTGTTGCTGTAGTTTCTTGTATGTAGAGCACAGTTTGTGTGTGATTCACGTGTTGGTGTTGCTGTAGTTTCTTGTATGTAGAGCACAGTTTGTGTGTGATTCACGTGTCGGTGTAGTTTTTTGTATGTAGAGTACAGTTTGTGTGTGATTCACGTGTCGGTGTAGTTTCTTGTATGTAGAGCACAGTTTGTGTGTGATTCACGTGTCGGTGTTATTTCTTGTATGTAGAGCACAGTTTGTGTGTGATTCACGTGTCGTTGTTGCTGAAGTTTCTTGTATGTAGAGCACAGTTTGTGTGTGATTCACGTGTCGTTGGTGCTGAAGTTTCTTGTATGTAGAGCACAGTTTGTGTGTGATTCACGTGTCGTTGGTGCTGAAGTTTCTTGTATGTAGAGCACAGTTTGTGTGTGATTCACGTGTTGGTGTAGTTTCTTGTATGTAGAGCACAGTTTGTGTGTGATTCACGTGTCGTTGGTGCTGAAGTTTCTTGTATGTAGAGCACAGTTTGTGTGTGATTCACGTGTCGTTGTTGCTGAAGTTTCTTGTATGTAGAGCACAGTTTGTGTGTGATTCACGTGTCGTTGGTGCTGAAGTTTCTTGTATGTAGAGCACAGTTTGTGTGTGATTCACGTGTCGTTGGTGCTGAAGTTTCTTGTATGTAGAGCACAGTTTGTGTGTGATTCACGTGTTGGTGTAGTTTCTTGTATGTAGAGCACAGTTTGTGTGTGATTCACGTGTCGTTGGTGCTGAAGTTTCTTGTATGTAGAGCACAGTTTGTGTGTGATTCACGTGTCGTTGGTGCTGAAGTTTCTTGTATGTAGAGCACAGTTTGTGTGTGATTCACGTGTCGTTGGTGCTGAAGTTTCTTGTATGTAGAGCACAGTTTGTGTGTGATTCACGTGTTGGTGTAGTTTCTTGTATGTAGAGCACAGTTTGTGTGTGATTCACGTGTCGTTGGTGCTGAAGTTTCTTGTATGTAGAGCACAGTTTGTGTGTGATTCACGTGTCGTTGTTGCTGAAGTTTCTTGTATGTAGAGCACAGTTTGTGTGTGATTCACGTGTCGTTGGTGCTGAAGTTTCTTGTATGTAGAGCACAGTTTGTGTGTGATTCACGTGTCGTTGGTGCTGAAGTTTCTTGTATGTAGAGCACAGTTTGTGTGTGATTCACGTGTTGGTGTAGTTTCTTGTATGTAGAGCACAGTTTGTGTGTGATTCACGTGTCGTTGGTGCTGAAGTTTCTTGTATGTAGAGCACAGTTTGTGTGTGATTCACGTGTTGGTGTAGTTTCTTGTATGTAGAGCACAGTTTGTGTGTGATTCACGTGTCGTTGGTGCTGAAGTTTCTTGTATGTAGAGCAGTTTTTCTGCAATTTTCACATAAAACATTGTGTTCTTCAGCTAGGTTAACCCTAGATAGACTGTAAAAGCTAAACACTTCCGCCTGTATAAAACCCGATGGCCTAATTGTTTCGTCTGCCTGTCATTTCAACATGGCTGAAAGGGCTTTGACAGCTTTAAAAGATTTCAGGATTAAAAATAAAAAGAAATTTAAACCTTCTGAAATTCTTAAGTTTTCGGGATTAAAAAAATGAGGATGAAACGTTGAGACAAAACTCGTCAAATTTTCCCTGGTTTTATTTTTCAAACAAAACTTTTGACCTGAAATCTTCTTGTTTGGCCGTCCTGGTCAGCCTATGTAGACATGTAAGGTTTTTTAGCTTTGGTGTGCTCTAAAATGTGTTGGGGTTTTTTACCATTTATTTAATGGAGCTTTCTTTCAGAACACTTCCCTTCAAAGGTTTTTTTTTTTTTAGAAAACATAATGTATAAATGTGTCAAATAAAACTTTAGTTTAGAGAACACTTCTCTATAAATGTGTTTGCACATATATTTTATCTTTTGCTATCATAAAAAAAATTGTGAAAACCCTTTTTTAAATTTATTTTTGTTAAATTAAATTCTTGCGTTTAAAAAATGTAAATGGATTCGTATTGATTTTTTAACGAATAAATTTTATCAGCTTTGAATATCTAAAAAAAATATATTTTCTAGCGAACATTCCTTAGCCTTCAAAATAAAAAGTTGTCGGCATTGTACATGCTTCATGCTACAATATCGCATGATACAGTAAACCATGATACAATATCACATGGTACAATAAACCATGATACACTATCACATGATACAATATACCATGATACAATTTCGCACGATATAATACTCTTTTATACAATGCCCTTGATACAAATTTCCATGATACAATGCTCCATGATACAAAGCCCTTGATACAATGCTCCATGAAACAATCAGCGCTGGAATGTACAGAAAGCAATAGCTGGTCAACAAGATTAATACAACAAATGAGAATATTTTTTTAATCAATTATTTCTGCATTTGTTATAGAACTTCGGTAAAAATAAATTTTTGGAGGAGAATTAAGCAGTTTCTAAATGTTTTTTTTAAATATCACTCATTTTTTCATCCTATTTCTAGTACAAACAGATAACATTATCCAAATTTGAATAAGTACTGACAGAAGTGTCCGCATTTGAAAAACGGAAATTTGATTTTAAAAAACGCAGCTAATTGTTTAGTAGCAAATATCAGAAGCTGTTCATTGATTACGAGCTGTCTTTGAAAAATTTGGGCCAAAAAGTTTGGAAACCTCTGATCTAGCTCTTTATTGAATCCGTTCCCCTTGTCAATTTCACCCAAAATGAAAAAAGGCATTTTCAAGGGACATAACTGTAAAAAGAACGTTTGACCTTTCTCTGTTGATTGCTTCCCTTTGTAGGGCAACAGGCCGCCATTTATTCTGTTGTACAAATATCGTCACTGGGATCACGACTCCAATTTTTTTTTTAAAGACGTTGAGCAAAATTGTTAACTTTTGCAGACTTGTAGCCAAATATTTACTTAACCATGTTACAGCCGATTTGTTTCGTCGTTTGAGAATAGATTCTGAATTGAGGTTTTTTTTTTTTTTTAAATTTAAACTTTAAATTCGATTTTAAGATCTTAGTCCTAAGTGGTACCATCTGACGACTTGAAGTTCATATTTAACGGATTTAAAAAATAAGTATGTCTGCTGGTAGGTCTTCCTTCTACAGGACGGTTATTGTTACTCCAACACTATAACAAAATTAGACACTGTACAATACCTCGAAACAAAACTATAAGACCCAATCCCTCATCTGAAAGCTTCTACTGTAATATCCTTGATGTAAATCTCACAGCTTTAGACTAATATTTGCTTTACTTCCCTTTAATATTTGCATTACTTCCCTTAATATTTGCATTACTTCCCTTTAATATTTGCATTACTTCCCTTAATATTTGCATTACTTCCCTTTAATATTTGCATTACTTCCCCTTTGGTCAGGTCTCGAGGAAGCGGCTGAACAAGAGTGGCAACAACTCGACCGGCCTCAACTACCCCGACTCTGAGCTGACCCAGGGAGCTGTCGGCCCTGACCCCGCCCCGCGGGAGGCTGGCGACACCATACGTCAGTTCACCAGCCGCCAGGTGGCGCCGGCCAAGACCCAGGAGGTGGCCAACGAAGAGGAGGACGGGGAGAAGGCGGAGAGCCGTGTCTCCAGGAACAGGCACCACAATGGTACATACAGGGACAAGGAGGAGGAGGGGGATGAGGGGGTGGGGCCGGTCTTGGCCAACCACCGAAACAGCGACCCGTTGCTGGTTTCTCAGAAACGAGGTCAAGGTTTCGGAGCCCGCGCTAACTACAGTATAGCAGAAGTGGATGAGTTTGTGGAACAGTTCGCCAGCAAGTACAAGAACTCGCTGTATGACGTGGCACCTGAGGTCAACTATCCAGAGTTCCTCAAGAGACTCAATGACGTCAAGAAGAAGGGGCCTCGGCTGGATGCGTTCACCGGCAAGAGGGGGTAGGTCACGTGTGTTGGTAAGGGGGGGGGGGGGTAGGTCACGTATGTTGGGGGGGGGGAGGGTAGGTCACGTGTGTTGGCAGGGGGGGGGGGTAGGTCACGTGTGTTGGCAGGGGGTGGGGAGGGGGTAGGTCATGTGTGGTACCTGTGTTTGTTGTTGGGGGAGGTGTTAGGGGTGGGATTTGAGGGGTGGAGATAGTGTAAAGGGCGTGTCGGGTGGGGGTGGGGATGTTAGTTATCTTTTCAGATGTGAGTTTTTGTGTGTCTGGATGTGAGACAGATGTGTTAGACATTAGTTGGGTGTGTTAAGGGTGGGTGTCATGGGGCGTATAAGTTGGTGTGTAGGAAATTGTGTGGTGTTGACTGTGTTAAGGCGTGTGTCAGCTGACGTTAACTGACCCCTGTCTGACCCCTGCAGCAAACAATCCTGGGAACAGTTCCACCACGGGATCCGACAGTACACGCTCTACGACCCCCAGGAGCCCTACCTCGCCAGGCTGCTCAACGACATGGCCACAGAGGAGGTCGTCGATGTAGGTGAGTTGTCTGACCTCAATGTCAGTTGTTGGCGTCTGACCTCATTGTCAGTTGTTGGCGTCTGACCTCAATGTCAGTTGTTGGCGTCTGACCTCAATGTCAGTTGTTGGCGTCTGACCTCAATGTCAGTTGTTGGCGTCTGACCTCAATGTCAGTTGTTGGCGTCTGACCTCAATGTCAGTTGTTGGCGTCTGACCTCAATGTCAGTTGTTGGTGTCTGACAATGTCAGGTGTTGGCGTCTGACCTCAATGTCAGTTGTTGGTGTCTGACAATGTCAGTTGTTGGCGTCTGACCACAATGTCAGTTGTTGGCGTCTGACTTCAATGTCAGTTGTTGGCGTCTGACCTCAATGTCAGTTGTTGGCACCTGACCTCAATGTCAGTTGTTGTAACCTGACAATGTCAGTTGTTGGCGTCTGACCACAATGTCAGTTGTTGGCGTCTGACTTCAATGTCAGCTGTTGGCGTCTGACCACAATGTCAGTTGTTGGCGTCTGACCTCAATGTCAGTTGTTGGCGTCTGACCTCAATGTCAGGTGTTGGCGTCTGACCTCAATGTCAGTTGTTGGCGTCTGACCTCAATGTCAGTTGTTGGCGTCTGACCTCAATGTCAGTTGTTGGCGTCTGACCTCAATGTCAGTTGTTGGCGTCTGACCTCAATGTCAGTTGTTGGTGTCTGACAATGTCAGTTGTTGGCGTCTGACCACAATGTCAGTTGTTGGCGTCTGACCTCAATGTCAGTTGTTGGTGTCTGACAATGTCAGTTGTTGGCGTCTGACCTCAATGTCAGTTGTTGGCGTCTGACCTCAATGTCAGTTGTTGGCGTCTGACCTCAATGTCAGTTGTTGGCGTCTGACCTCAATGTCAGTTGTTGGTGCCTGACCTCAGTCACTGCTTACATTCCTAGAGCGTTAGTGTCTAGTCCCCGCCATATCAGACCTGCCAATGTCAGATGCTCGAGTTGCAAGAGTGAACTAGCCTGTCCCCAGACCAGTGATTTAGATTATTTTTTTTGGTTAATTAATGTGAGGTCAGCTTGACCCAGGAGAAGACAAGAACAATGACCACAGAGAGGATGTCATAATTAGTTGTCATGGGATGGTGGCTGTCATTAGATGTCATCCACCCCACCCCTGCTAACTGTCGTCTGGTGTTTCAGAGCAAAAAGAAGGTGGGACACAGATCAAGCTCATCCTGTCGCTAGCAGACGACGGTCTGGCCCTGTTTAAACCCATGCGGTAAGTCGTTTGGTCATTATCATTTTAAGTGGATTAAAACGTCAGCTAATTAGTACTTTTAAGTAGGTCGCCATGATGGGTCGACTTAAGTGGCGTCACTGTTAGGCTATTAAAAAAACATCTAAAACACAACACGGCTACTAGTTCACTACAAATTGACGGCTACAAATACTGAAGTAGGTTAGATAGCTAGTGTTAAATTTTGTTTAATCTAGATAAATAATCAACTTTTTAAAAATACAATAAATTGCAATAAGATAAAAACCATGTATATACAGCATAGCAAAAACATAATACTGTTTGGGACAAATAAGTCTTTACCACATATTTTTGTACAATCGATGACCATAAAGTTCTATACACAAATTTTAAAAACTTGCAAAACTTTGTTGTGGACGTGTAACTAAATTAAAAATTGATTGGCTTAAAGTCTCCAGTGAGTCCAAGAGTTTTCCGTTTGTTAGAAAAAAAATTTGAGCAGAAAATGTCGCTACAATAACCTAGTTCTCAGCGATTCTTTTAGCTCGTAACTCATGTTCCAAGATTCTACCAGAATGACGTCATCCTCATGCACCACCCCCAGCAGCTCCGTGGGGAGGCGGTGGTACTGACCCCCCTCGACCAGCACCACCAGACGATGGGGGTTGTCCGGCGCCTGGGCGTAGACTGCCGACCTGCAGGTGAAGACCGCCCATTCGTCGCTCAGCAGGAAGCCCTCGCTACACACCAGGATCACCCTCCAGCTCGAATTGAGCGCCAACACCAGCGCGCGCGCCACGTCTTGCGCAGGCAGAAGGTCACGGTCACGTATGAAGGTCGTCAGCCCCAGCGTGTCTTCAAGAAAGAGCCGCAGCGGCCCACACGGGAACTGATAGTCCACATCAGCATAGCCGACAAACGCGCCGATGGGGTAGTTGTCACGTGTCTTGAGCCGGTATCCGCCAATCAGCTGTAGCAAGGACGACACGATGAATCGTTTATTTTTCTCCACAAAGAAAACCACCAAGAAGCCGATGATCATCAGGAAGAGCAGCACGACTGCCAGGGAGAAGAAGAACTGAGCGGAACATCTTCTCCACGTTATGCTCATGTCGGCGTAGTTGGCCGTGTGGTCGAGGGTGTTGCCGCCGCTCATGCAGGTGTAGTTGCGACCTGCGTCCAGTTGTATGACCGTCGTGTTCAACCACAGCAGGAAGTAGAACGACTGACAGCTGCAGGAAAAAATATTCCCCGATAAAAAGAGTTGGAAATCAGGAAAACCCGCAGTTATCCTCTCTATCTTTCTCAGCGTAGTTTCCTCGAGAGTAGTCAGAGAATTATCTCGAAGGTCCAGGAGTCTAAGGTTGGGGGTGTGGCTCAGGTCGAACGGAACCTCCGCGAACCTGTTACCCCGCAGGTAAACCTCCTCGAGTTTGAGGTTTGTTTGAAAAGTGTCGCGGGCGAATATGGAGAAAAGGTTGTAAGACAAATCGATTCGCCGCAGGTTGATCAGTGTCTGGAACATTCTCTTGCTGTGGGCGGGCATGAACTCCGGCGCCATGGACACGCTGGCCATAGCCAGGTCTTGGACGTTGGGCAGGTGGTCTAGAAACTGGGGCGCCGTGTGGCTCATGTCGTTACCTGACAGCAGGAGCCGCCTGACGCCCGTCAGACCCCGCATGACACCGTAAAAGTTGTTGAAGTTGTTTTTCGACATGTCGAGGTTGGTGATGCCGTCTGCGCCTATGAGTTGATAGTTTCCCGCCATAGGTCCCGATGAAATCAAAGTTTGAATGGTCACTGACCTTAAAGACGGGGAGAAGTATAAAAATATCTGTCCGTCGCTTGTTTTGTTAGGCTGCACAGTTTGAGAATGGTCGGAATCTTTGTGTAAATATTCCATACCGACTTTTGTTCTTAGGGTTTTGTCACGTGGTCTGTAACCTGATGGGCTATGACTGGCGGAAAAAGGCGGGAAAACAGAGCATGACGTAACGCCACCTGTGACCGTGAACACCTCCAGGCTCCTGAACTGGAGGGCGCTCATCAGGGCGACGCCCGTGCCCACGAGGACGTTGTCGGAGAAGTCGAGGGTCCTGAGGCACCGGTTCCAGACGCCCCTGTAGGAGAAGGCGCCCTCCTCGATGATGTAGATGCGGCTGCCGGTCAGCGCGAACTGACCCACGCAGACCTTGAGCGCGTGCTTCATCTTGTCGGCCGTCAAGATGGCGTCCCCGTCCAGCAGACCGGTGAAGCCCACGTGGATGTCATGGTTCACTGACTCCAGCGTCACTGACGTCATGTTCCGGCCCTCGAACGGCTGCAGCAGCGTCAGGGCAGTTTTGACTCCTATAAACACGTAGTACAAGTTCAGCTGCGTCAGTCGCGTCAGCGTCACAAAAGCTGCCCTGCTGACGTTTGTTAGAGTCAGAAACCCCAGCATCTTTAACTCCTCGACCTGGGCCACGTGATCAAAACTGGAGCTGGTGACGTACTTGGCGGCGCCAGTTATCTCCATACGTCGGAGGGAGGTCAGGTTCTGGAAGTCTGCAGGGAACTCAACCGTGTCGCCCACAGTGTTGATGGACAGAGTGGACACGCCACGGACGTGCCGGAGGAAGTCTTCAGGGTAGGAGGTGTCACTGATCTCAGCCGTCTGGAGCAGACGTAGCTCTCTTAGACTTTTGAGCGGCTGGAAAATGTCTGGTGGGTACGATCGAACTGAGAGATGTAATTTGTTCCTTTCTAAATTTAGAATTTCTAGACAACCAAGTCCCACAAAGGCGTTCGGCTGTATCAGTTTAATGTTGTTGTCGCCGATATTCAGGTGACGGAGGGCGTTGAGGTGACCGAACGTTGAGTTGGGCAAGAGGTCGAGTTGGTTGTCCTGTAGCCAGACGATGGTCGCGTTAGCCGGGAACCAGTCAGGACTGACCTCGGTCAGCTGGAGATTGGAGCAGTCGACCGTGACGTCACGCTCGTCTGCCAGCACCGTGCACGGGGAAGGAACCGTCCGTGGTGCACCTAGGTCACGTGGTTCACCTAGGTCACGTGGTTCACCTAGGTCACGTGGTTCACCTAGGTCACGTGGTTCACCTAGGTCACGTGGAGCACCTATGTCACGTGGAGCACCTAGGTCAGTCTGGTGGTCAGCAGATGGTGCTGCTATAGATCTAGTAGCCCGCACAGATCTTGGTAGTTCTATAGATCTAGTAGCCCGCACAGATCTTGGTAGTTCTATAGATCTAGTAGCCCGCACAGATCTTGGTAGTTCTATAGATCTAGTAGCCCGCACAGATCTTGGTAGTTCTATAGATCTAGTAGGCCTAAGAAATCTCTGCCGGGTTTTTCCGATTGGTTTCTCTGCAAGCTGACGGCCGCCGTTGTGATCTCCTCCCTTGTTGAATTCTGGAATGTGTATGTGGTTTCCTTGTGTGGGAAACATTTCTCTACTGTGGTGCGTGTCACGTGGTGACAGCTCCACTCCTACCTGTGTCTTCACCTGCTGCTCCCTGTGGAAAAGCTGGTGTCGCGTCTTCTTCTTGTGTTGATGTTGTGGTACCTGGTGTATGGTGCTGACATGTTGATGTCGTGGTACCTTGTGTATGGTACCGACACGTAGTCCCGTGCCGGTCGTTTTCAAATCTGGGTCAAACTCATCGTCTGCTCCAATACAATCATGCCAGCATTTGATTGTGTTGGGTGGTGTGTCGGGGTGGGGGTGGACATCAGACGCGCCACAAAGTTGCATGAACACTAAACAAGAGAAACACAGTGGAAGAGTTTCCATACCTTCACCCGACACACGGCAAGCCTAGACTAGATTGACAGATAGCAAATACTGTCGACACACCGACAAGTACAGAGCAGAAACTGGTCAACTGTTATCTCATTTCTTTATAGCTGCTGTCTGTCGAACTGGTGTACTCGGGAGGCTTGTTCTGATTGGCGGGTTATAAATAGTTACACACCAGAGTTATGTCATCCACACTTAAAAGTTTTATTCCCCACTAGATTGGAGTGTCTTAGATGGCTGTTTTATGCTCCATGCGAGACTTCCTGGAAAGTTGTAGGAGAAAACCGTTCACCTCAAGACGTGTAGGGCCAAACATGGCGGGGGTAGGGTAGACAGGCGGGGGAGGGGGAAGGTAGACAGGCCCGGGGAAGGGGTAGGGTTGACAGGCCCGGGGGAGGGGTAGGGTTGACAGGCCCGGGGGAGGGGTAGGGTAAACAGGCCCGGGGGAGGGGTAGGGTAGACAGGCCCGGGGGAGGGGTAGGGTTGACAGGCCCGGGGGAGGGGTAGGGTAGACAGGCCCGTGGGGTAGGGTAGACAGGCCCGGGGGAGGGGTAGGGTAGACAGGTCCGGGGAAGGGGTAGGGTTGACAGGCCCGGGGGAGGGGTAGGGTTGACAGGCCCGGGGGAGGGGTAGGGTAGACAGGCCCGTGGGGTAGGGTAGACAGGCCCGGGGAAGGGGTAGGGTAGACAGGCCCGTGGGGTAGGATAGACAGGCCCGGGGGAGGGGTAGGGTAGACAGGCACGTGGGGTAGGGTAGACAGGCCCGTGGGGTAGGGTAAACAGGCCCGGGGGAGGGGTAGACAGCCCCGGGGGGGGGGGGGGGTAGGGTAGACAGGCTGGGGGTATGACAGCAAGACAGGCTGTGAGGGCAGACATGCCTGGGTGCGGCATACAGACGAGGGTAGGGCATAGAGATTTGATAGGGTAAGGGGTCGTCCATAAATGACGTCACACACGTAGGGGGGAGGGGGGTCCGTAATTTTGTGACGGTGTGTGATGAGGGGGGAGGGGGGGTGTCTGATGGTGGGACGTCACACTTTTGCATTATAAAACAGCAATGTTAGAAAACGAATTTTAGACGTTATTTCGCGTTTTAGAAAACTGTTTTAATAAATTGTAATAGGAATTGATTAAAATACTCTATGTTGACAGAGATTTTGGAAAAATATCGATGTTCTAAGAAAAATTCAACTGCAATTTTGAGGGGGGTTGTAGACTGAGGTGTGACCAGAGTTTCTTCCAGGCATCTCTTCGGGGGAAGCCCCCCCCCCCCCCCCCCCCCGAAAAAATAATTCTACCGCCCCCCCCCCCCCGAACGAAATGAAATTTATATAGAAAATATATACTTTTAACAGTGTCCGCCCCCCCCCCCCGAAAATTTCAAGTGACCCCCCCCCCCCGGAGAAAAAAGTCTGGAAGAAACACTGGGTGTGACGTCATTCTAGGGGGGGGGGGAGTCTGGCTTTTTGTGACGATGTGTGACGGAAGGGAGGGAGGGGGGAGGTAAAAATCGTAAATAAAAAGCGTGACGTCATTTATGGATGACCCCTTAGGCCGTAGACAGATGTATGATTAGCAAGACGGTTTTGTGGTAACTAAATTCATTTAAAATTCAAATGTCTGAGTCTTCCAAAAATGACAACCCTAAAAAAATAACCAGTGAAAGCTTTTCAATGTTTGGTGTAATCAATGTCCACAATAGACTCTTCTAAAAATAGGTGTGTTTGTTTGAAAATATTATTTAACGATCGGGTTGCCTATAGTGTTAGGAAGTCGGAAATTTTACATTTTAGCTTAGCACTTTGGCAGAATTTGGGATGGTTTATCGGTTAAGTATATGGTTAGTGTTGACCGAATAAGTAAAAATAGTATTTGGTTTACTACCATTCACGTGACACCTATTTTTAAAGCTTGTATTGAATATGATCGGGTTCAAGTGTAACGTAAACTTTGGTTTTTCTTCTCTACTCAATGTGCCAAGCCTTATGGAAGATCCGGGAAGGGACAGAACTCCCCAAACTTTGGCTGTGATTTATTTTACAATCTACAGATAGACATGGAGCAAGACGATTTTTACAAGCTTTTATTTAACTCACTTCCTCTGTCGTCAGTCTGTCGACAGTCTGTCTAGACGGAAACGCAGGAGTGAAAATTCGGACAGTTCTACTTGACCGACACGATTCACAGTTGGCACGTGGGTCAAGACATGAAGACAATGCAATCTGAAACTAAATTTGACTTAATTGGATGCCTAATTGATTTTTTATGAATTAATTAAAATTTGGACCGAATTAGTAGGCATGTCTAGCCAACCACACCACACGCGTCATCAATAGCTGCGCCATCACGACCACGTAATGGCTGCGTTCAAAAACCATTGCGCGCCTACTGAACGTGATGTTCAGTAGGCGAGCAATGGTTTTTAGTCATGTAACTCTATTGTAAATAAACATGTAAAGTACTGAAAAAAAATTCATAAAAAAACGTTTTAATAACAAGCTTTTATGTAATGATGCACTAAAAAGTAGAAAATAAATTATAGACTACTATTTAAATAACTATAAAGAAAAGCGTGGGTGTCTTCTTTAACATTAGTAAAGGTATCCAATAGATACTAAAGTGACCCACGCTTTTCTTTATAGTTATTTAAATAGTAGTCTATAATTTATTTTCTACTTTTTAGTGCATCATTACATAAAAGCTTGTTATTAAAACGTTTTTTATGAATTTTTTTTACAAGCTTTTATTTAACTCACTTCCTCTGTCTGTCGTAAGTCTGTCTTGACGGAAACGCAGGAGTGAAAATTCGGACAGTTCTACTTGACCGACACGATTCACAGTTGGCACGTGGGTCAAGACATGAAGACAATGCAATCTGAAACTAAATTTGACTTAATTGGATGCCTAATTGATTTTTTATGAATTAATTAAAATTTGGACCGAATTAGTAGGCATGTCTAGCCAACCACACCACACGCGTCATCAATAGCTGCGCCATCACGACCACGTAATGGCTGCGTTCAAAAACCATTGCGCGCCTACTGAACGTGATATTCAGTAGGCGCGCAATGGTTTTTAGTCATGTAACTCTATTGTAGATAAAACATGTAAAGTACTGAAAAAAAATTCATAAAAAAACGTTTTAATAACAAGCTTTTATGTAATGATGCACTAAAAAGTAGAAAATAAATTATAGACTACTATTTAAATAACTATAAAGAAAAGCGTGGGTGTCTTCCTTAACATTAGTAAAGGTATCCAATAGATACTAAAGTGACCCACGCTTTTCTTTATAGTTATTTAAATAGTAGTCTATAATTTATTTTCTACTTTTTAGTGCATCATTACATAAAAGCTTGTTATTAAAACGTTTTTTTATGAATTTTTTTATCAATTTTATGACGTCCTGTTAAATGACTTTCTTCTAACTATGAATTTCGTCATAGAAATATCCCACTTTGACTTCCTGATCAGCCATGGGTGACCGACTTTGTGCCTAATGTTTACCCTACGCTAGGCATTAGCCTATCCTTCATCTAAAGCTAACATTGAACCTTAAGAGAAAGACAGTCATGTTTTATCCTGCAGGCACAAAAAATACTAGATAATGCGCTGAAGATCTAACTCAGCAGCTTGTCTTTAAGTGTGGTGATATTCGTGGCGTCATGATACTTATCAGTAGCGTAGCGGGGGGGGGGGGGACATATGTCCCCGGGCGCCGACCTTAGGGGGCGCCAAAATGGGTTGGAAAAATAAATTGAAAGGTTGAGGGGGGTGCAAATCGAAAGTTTGAAGGGGGTGCAAATCGAAATCTCGACGGGGGGGGGGGTGCAAATCGAAAAGTTTGTCCCTGGCCGCCGGGAAGGGTCGCTACGCCTCTGATACTTATCACGGACAAGGCCGACTGAGGAGAAGCCTACCAAGGAAAAGCCTACCGCAAAAAAACATGCAAGCACAATGATGTGCCTAAATATATTTTACAATTTTTACTTTTTATTGTTATAAACCATAATACTTAATGATATTATGGCATTGATGTGTTTATGACTTTATGGTTTTTATGACCTGAAGATATTTGTGATGTCATGCTATTAGCTACGTGATTATATTGTGGCATCGATGTGTTTATTACGTCATATTTGCGATATCATGACATTTGTGACATCATGACAATTGTGATGGCATGATGTGTTACTGTACCATGATATATGTGACGTCATTATTTGTGTGATGTCATTCTATTCATGACATCATATTTGTGACATCGTGATATCTGTGACGTCATGATATCTGTGACACTGATGTACTCTTAACGTGGAAGCTCTCATGCTCTTGTATCTTTGACCCTCAGGTTCCCACGTGACCAAGAAACTCTTCCAGACCACTTCTACTTCGCTGACTATGAGAGACACAACGCTGAGATAGCGGCTTTTCACCTCGACATGTTAGTCAGTTTTAATTTAGTCATTCATCTTTAGCCCCTCATCTTTAGTCATTTTCACTTCAGTTATTCATATTTAGTCATTTAGACTCAAATCATTCATCTTTAGCCATAGCCCATTTTATCTATTATCTTTAGTTATGTCTTGTGGAAGTCTTTAAGATAATAAATGTGGAACAGACAAAGTTGTCTTCCAAGAATTCCCTCTCGTTGATATTTTACTTTTCGAGCAATACTGATTTCCCTCCCTATGAAAGGGAATATATTTTCTATAAGTGAGCGCCTAGCAAGTAGCTTTAATTTAAATTAAATTAAATTATATTTTTACGTCTTAGTGCATTTTTTCATTTTTTTGTGATTTTAACAAAACCCATTTTCCTTTAAAAAAAAATTTTTTGTGAGATTTGTTGGCTTGGTAACAATGTCATCACCAAAGTTTTCTTTTTGTCGATCAAAACAAGTAAAATTATTAGACCTATAGGAATACATGAAGAAAAAAGTGCTAGTGGAATAGCTTCATTTGATAAGTTTACTGTCCCCTTGTTTGCAATAGATCAGTCCACTACATGCAAAGTTAGGAGAGCCGATACAGCTGTAGGGAGATTAACTACTCACTGATTGCTTCCCTTTACTTTACTTTATTGCTACCTGGGGAAATAACTCTCACGTATTTCACGAACTATAACTCACGAAATGTACAGGAACAATAACTCCCACCAGACCAACTCTATCTGTCTAACTGGGCTGGGCGCAGTGGGAGACTTTGACTTTGTACAAGTGTCAGACTGCTGAATTTTTATGGTTTCAATTTAGCAGACGTGTGGTATTAACTTTTATTTAATCTCGTCCCTCAGGGTTTTGGGATTTCATCGGGTGCCCCCAACCATCGGTCGCAGCCTCAATGTGAGTCATGACCTACACAGACTGGCCAATCACAAACTGGCAAAAACCTTTTTTATATCTCCAGGTTAGTTGATTTCCTTTCACCAGATAAATTTCGATATTTATTTCTAGGTGTGAATATTACAACTTGACATGATTAAATCTTTATATATTTGTGTTTATATACATATGTATATAGGTATAAATACACATAATATATATTATACCTATATAAATATATAAACATGTATATAAACCGTTCGATGACAAATGAATTCAAGAAACATCTCAGACAAAATATCTTGGACAAAATTGTATGAGATCGATTGTCCATCGTATCATTTGTCCTGGTATCTTTTGTCATTGAGATCATTTGTCCTGTCACCATATGGCATATAAACATATAGGTACATACATATACACAGAGGCGTTGCTAGGCGGGGGGAGGGGTGCTGACTGCACAGGGTGACACCATTTAGGGGGTTGCCACCAAGTCAACAGAATAGCAAAATATATATATATAATAAATATGCTTTTTGCCAGTTTAATTAATGTTAATTAGAGGTAAAAAGTATTTTACGACAAATTGACGATCCTGACAATGGGGGGGGGGGGGGGACACCATGAACTAAACATGCAAATAGAAAACAATGTTACATCCAGCTGTATTAATAAAAAACTATAGATAAATATCGTTAGTAATAACTGTGAACACTTTAAAGCTATTACCAGGGCGGGGAGATGATTTATAGGTGGATTAAAATAATGTGTGCACAAATTGACACCATTTGGCAAAGTCAGAGGGAGGTGTCACCAATTGCAACTGTATATATAGGCCTATATAAATGTTTTTGTATATATGTGTATATATATATATATATATATATATATATATATATATATATATATATATATGTGTGTGTGTGTGTGTTTAACATATAAATGTGTATATATATAAATGTGTATATAGCTTCTGTTTAACTAGTTCCACCACTGTTAAAATATGTCCCTCTCTGTCAGCTGGTAACTGGTGCTTCCATGGCTCCTGCTCCTACTACTGCGACTCATCTCACCCCATCTGTGGCCATCCCATGATGCTGGAGGGATCTCTGGCCGCCTTCCTGCCACCAATACAGATGGCCAAGAGAAAAACTTGGAGAAATCCCTGGAAGAGATCCTACAGTAAACATAGAAAGGTAGCCACAGAAAGGTAGCAGGGTAGCCACCCATGTAGCAGGGTAGCCACATATGTAGCAGGGTAGCCACATATGTAGCAGGGTAGCCACATAAGAAGCAGGGTAAACACACATGTAGCAGAGTAGCCACACATGTAGCAGAGTAGCCACACATGTAGCGGGGTAGCCATGCATGTAGCAGGGTAGCCACGCATGTAGCAGGGTAGCCACGCATGTAGCAGGGTAGCCACCCATGTAGCAGGGTAGCCACCCATGTAGCAGGGTAGCCATGCATGTAGCATGGTAGCCACAGTAGAATATGTCAGTAAATCTATTTAACGAAGTGTCTGTTGAAAAAACTTAAAGCCATTTAAATGCATCAAACTCTTGTGTATTGGGAAAACATTTTCTGATGAATTTGAAAAGCTATTATCATGAAAATAGAATAACTACAAATATAATGTAAAATATAGCGTTAAAGCTCAAAATGTTTCCAGCACAAAATGGAGTTAAAAGTGATGTATGTAACATATTTTATGTCCAGGCCTACTGGGAGGTGTACGATGGATGTATGTAACATATTTTATGTCCAGGCCTACTGGGAGGTGTACGATGGATGTATGTAACATATTTTATGTCCAGGCTTACTGGGAGGTGTACGATGGATGTATGTAACATATTTTATGTCCAGGCTTACTGGGAGGTGTACGATGGATGTATGTAACATATTTTATGTCCAGGCCTACTGGGAGGTGTACGATGGATGTATGTAACATATTTTATGTCCAGGCTTACTGGGAGGTGTACGATGGATGTATGTAACATATTTTATGTCCAGGCTTACTGGGAGGTGTACGATGGATGTATGTAACATATTTTATGTCCAGGCTTACTGGGAGGTGTACGATGGATGTATGTAACATATTTTATGTCCAGGCTTACTGGGAGGTGTACGATGGATGTATGTAACATATTTTATGTCCAGGCTTACTGGGAGGTGTACGATGGATGTATGTAACATATTTTATGTCCAGGCTTACTGGGAGGTGTACGATGGATGTATGTAACATATTTTATGTCCAGGCTTACTGGGAGGTGTACGATGGATGTATGTAACATATTTTATGTCCAGGCTTACTGGGAGGTGTACGATGGATGTATGTAACATATTTTATGTCCAGGCTTACTGGGAGGTGTACGATGGATGTATGTAACATATTTTATGTCCAGGCTTACTGGGAGGTGTACGATGGATGTATGTAACATATTTTATGTCCAGGCTTACTGGGAGGTGTACGATGGATGTATGTAACATATTTTATGTCCAGGCCTACTGGGAGGTGTACGATGGATGTATGTAACATATTTTATGTCCAGGCTTACTGGGAGGTGTACGATGGATGTATGTAACATATTTTATGTCCAGGCTTACTGGGAGGTGTACGATGGATGTATGTAACATATTTTATGTCCAGGCTTACTGGGAGGTGTACGATGGATGTATGTAACATATTTTATGTCCAGGCTTACTGGGAGGTGTACGATGGATGTATGTAACATATTTTATGTCCAGGCTTACTGGGAGGTGTACGATGGATGTATGTAACATATTTTATGTCCAGGCTTACTGGGAGGTGTACGATGGATGTATGTAACATATTTTATGTCCAGGCCTACTGGGAGGTGTACGATGGATGTATGTAACATATTTTATGTCCAGGCTTACTGGGAGGTGTACGATGGATGTATGTAACATATTTTATGTCCAGGCTTACTGGGAGGTGTACGATGGATGTATGTAACATATTTTATGTCCAGGCTTACTGGGAGGTGTACGATGGATGTATGTAACATATTTTATGTCCAGGCTTACTGGGAGGTGTACGATGGATGTATGTAACATATTTTATGTCCAGGCTTACTGGGAGGTGTACGATGGATGTATGTAACATATTTTATGTCCAGGCTTACTGGGAGGTGTACGATGGATGTATGTAACATATTTTATGTCCAGGCTTACTGGGAGGTGTACGATGGATGTATGTAACATATTTTATGTCCAGGCCTACTGGGAGGTGTACGATGGATGTATGTAACATATTTTATGTCCAGGCTTACTGGGAGGTGTACGATGGATGTATGTAACATATTTTATGTCCAGGCTTACTGGGAGGTGTACGATGGATGTATGTAACATATTTTATGTCCAGGCCTACTGGGAGGTGTACGATGGATGTATGTAACATATTTTATGTCCAGGCTTACTGGGAGGTGTACGATGGATGTATGTAACATATTTTATGTCCAGGCTTACTGGGAGGTGTACGATGGATGTATGTAACATATTTTATGTCCAGGCTTACTGGGAGGTGTACGATGGATGTATGTAACATATTTTATGTCCAGGCCTACTGGGAGGTGTACGATGGATGTATGTAACATATTTTATGTCCAGGCTTACTGGGAGGTGTACGATGGATGTATGTAACATATTTTATGTCCAGGCCTACTGGGAGGTGTACGATGGATGTATGTAACATATTTTATGTCCAGGCTTACTGGGAGGTGTACGATGGATGTATGTAACATATTTTATGTCCAGGCTTACTGGGAGGTGTACGATGGATGTATGTAACATATTTTATGTCCAGGCTTACTGGGAGGTGTACGATGGATGTATGTAACATATTTTATGTCCAGGCCTACTGGGAGGTGTACGATGGATGTATGTAACATATTTTATGTCCAGGCCTACTGGGAGGTGTACGATGGATGTATGTAACATATTTTATGTCCAGGCTTACTGGGAGGTGTACGATGGATGTATGTAACATATTTTATGTCCAGGCCTACTGGGAGGTGTACGATGGATGTATGTAACATATTTTATGTCCAGGCTTACTGGGAGGTGTACGATGGATGTATGTAACATATTTTATGTCCAGGCCTACTGGGAGGTGTACGATGGATGTATGTAACATATTTTATGTCCAGGCCTACTGGGAGGTGTACGATGGATGTATGTAACATATTTTATGTCCAGGCCTACTGGGAGGTGTACGATGGATGTATGTAACATATTTTATGTCCAGGCCTACTGGGAGGTGTACGATGGATGTATGTAACATATTTTATGTCCAGGCCTACTGGGAGGTGTACGATGGATGTATGTAACATATTTTATGTCCAGGCCTACTGGGAGGTGTACGATGGATGTATGTAACATATTTTATGTCCAGGCCTACTGGGAGGTGTACGATGGATGTATGTAACATATTTTATGTCCAGGCTTACTGGGAGGTGTACGATGGATGTATGTAACATATTTTATGTCCAGGCCTACTGGGAGGTGTACGATGGATGTATGTAACATATTTTATGTCCAGGCTTACTGGGAGGTGTACGATGGATGTATGTAACATATTTTATGTCCAGGCTTACTGGGAGGTGTACGATGGATGTATGTAACATATTTTATGTCCAGGCTTACTGGGAGGTGTACGATGTATGTATGTAACATATTTTATGTCCAGGCCTACTGGGAGGTGTACGATGGATGTATGTAACATATTTTATGTCCAGGCTTACTGGGAGGTGTACGATGGATGTATGTAACATATTTTATGTCCAGGCTTACTGGGAGGTGTACGATGACCTGTGTGACAAGGTGAGGGACAAACACCCGTACAATGAAAGCCGTAGACTAGCAGACGTAATGGACATGGCTGTCTTTGATTTTCTAACTGGTAAAACTTTCCTCTGGTCTATTAATATAACAGCATATTGTAAGAAAAACTCTTTAACAAAAACTTTAATCATGTATTTCATTTAATCATTTGCATATTATTGTTACATCTGTGTTAGGTATCGGAGCCATTATGTTTTAATTTTTGCAGGTAACTTAGACAGACATCACTACGAAACATTCCAAGCTTTTGGCAACGACACGTTCTTGCTTCACCTGGATAATGGCAGGGCGTAAGTCATTACTTTTTTAATTATCTTCCAAATGATTACTTATGTAATGAAATTATTATTTTTGTAATTATTTGATGACTTATGTAATCACATTTTAAAGATACCTCTTCTGTCAATTGAAGTTAGACATTTCACAATCTTATCAAAGTATTTAGGTAGGCATACATTATCACCTTGAAAGAACCCAAGCAGAGTTTCTTCCAGGCATTCCCCCCCCCCTGGAAAATGTAGACAGCCCCCCCTCCCTCTCCCCCCCACCCTGAAAATATTAAGTGCTCCCCTGGAGAAAAAAGTCTGGAAGAAACACTGAACCCAAGTATGGCAGTAACTTCAATATCAACTCAGCTGGTAGAGTGTGTCCTTAATATTTAACACATTTACAACCTGTTTTCTAAACCTTGCACCACTTATACTGTTTTTATTCCAGGTTTGGGAAATCCAAGTACGACTGTATATCCTGACATTTTCTCTTTTATTCCAGGTTTGGGAAATCCAAGTACGACTGTATATCCTGCATCGCACCAGTGCGCCAGTGCTGCATGATCCGTCTGTCCACCCTCTCCAAGCTAATCAAGCTCTACTCTGGTCCAGACAGCTTAAGCCAGATTATGAGATTATCATTACATTCTGACCCGCTGGACCCGGTCCTATGGGAACCCCACCTAGATGCCCTGGACAGGCGGGTCAGTAAAGTCTTGCATATGGTCAACAACTGTATCAAAGATGGACGTCAGTGGAATGATGTTATAATTGATGACGGCATCACGTAACAAAATTTGTCATTGGCAGTTTGTGAGCACAAACCACTGATGTCATGACATCACTATTTTGTCCGTACAAACCACTGACGTCATGATGTAACCACTTTGTCAGCATGAGCCTTTGTTCATTGTGATGCTAACAAATATTCCAAGGTTGTGATGTCATCATAAACCAATGATATATCACCACAAACAACTCACCTGATGTCACCACAAACTAGTGGTGATTTACCACAATTTTGCTTTTTAAACAATTCATAAATTCTTGGGCTTAAGGCAACTCTAAACCTAAGTAATGTTTCTGTAACTAAACTTGTTGAACTATTAATTTTGCATAATTATGTTTTGATTTTTAAAGTTTTTATTACTTGTGGTTTGATGAAGAAATATTTTTATGTCCATAGAATCTTTAAGCTGCAACTCTGCCTGTAGAGAAACAAAAATGTTTTTAACTCTACAAATATTGCAACTATTTGCAACTATGAATCTCCTCTTGGATTATTTAATCTATTAATTAATTGATTAAGGGTTTTACTTATTTTTATTATTTTATTTCCTGTTGAACCTGATTTGAACAGTTCTCAACCCTTATTGAATGTTGAAGCTTGAAATCTTGAAGTGTTAAGATGGTGTTTGGAGTCTCCTGCCACCTAGACACTGGCACGCCTCCACTTTGTTTGCTTGAAGTCTGTACACCATGTTTTGGTTGGGTAGGTCAGTCATGTGACCCCATGTTTTGGTTGGGTAGGTCAGTCATGTGACTCCATGTTTTGGTTGGGTAGGCCAGTCATGTGACCCCATGTTTTGGTTGGGTAGGTCAGTCATGTGACCCCATGTTTTGGTTGGGTAGGTCAGTCATGTGACTCCATGTTTTGGTTGGGTAGGCCAGTCATGTGACCCCATGTTTTGGTTGGGTAGGTCAGTCATGTGACCCCATGTTTTGGTTGGGTAGGTCAGTCATGTGACCCCATGTTTTGTTTGGGTAGGTCAGTCATGTGACCACATGGTGTTGTGACTTCAGACATCTTGTACTGAGGAGTGTCTCTTGTACAAAACTTCGTTACAATGTTTCTTTCTTGTTAAACTTATCAAATATTCTTGGCTGCAAAACTTTCCAGAAAAATGATCTTACAGAATAATCTTCAAACATTCCATTCAATATTGCATGTTGTCAAAATGGATTCTGTATTCCACAAAAAAATGATTTTTCAGTGTTGTTCAGCTGTAAGAGTTAGCAGTTAAGGCAATAATTAATGACTTTAAAATCCAAACTTAATCTCCATCCATACAGATGTATTTGATTTTGTTATTTAAATTTGTTTTCACCAATTGTTGTGACAGAACTTTTTTCTATTTTAATGTGAAGTTTTAAATTGTCTAGTTTATCCAAGGTTAGCACCAAATATAAACCTATTATTATAATTTGACTGTTATTTGCATCATTATTTTAAATATGATACAAAAAATTCTTTTAAAACATTCTTTTAAAAAATTATGAACATATAACAGATTTCAAAATAATTAATCACGAGAAAGAAGAATAATGTTATTTTGTTCTCTATGTAAAAAAAATGTATCCATGGTAAAAATTAATAGGTGAAAAAATATTTCAACAAATGAATGTTTTTTAATTACCAAAGTGTTATAATTTGATATGGCTTGTGTTTGTTGAACTGATCACAGTGTTGTGCCTTGTGTCCCTGCTAGCATTACTTGGTTGCTGGTCATTTACTGGTCAGACACTACTTGATATACTTCTTCTAGTTAGCATATCTTATGGGTCGTAGCCAGTCCATTGGTAAATCTATAACGATCAACTAAATATATTTCATATCTTCACCATCATCATCATCTGTATCTGAAGCCCATTATATATACTAAAAATTTGAATAATGACACATTATATCTGAGAGTGAGGGTCTAATTCTTTTCAAAACACTTCTAAAGTAAAGATGGATGGGCAGTGTGCCGATTATACATCAGCCAAGGTCATCATACTTATGAACTCTACTAAAAATGTGATTGCCCATGGAAAGTTAAGTACCCTTTCAAACCTAACCATCCATGGTACAGGTTAATTAGAATTTAACTTTTTAGTGACCTCGGCATATGAAAGGATAGTGTGGTCCGTGCTGTGCCCAGCCACCTTTACTTAATCAAACGTGAGTCAGGTACCCAGCAGAGCTTGGTGGACCAGGACATCCAGGAGACTCACAAGACTTTTGGGTGAGCAGTGGAGTGCTCTACCATTTGACCAAATGACCCAAAGTCTTAGTTGTAATTTGAGAAAAATCTTATGGTGATCTTATAATAAATAATGATGTGGAAGTCTTAAAAAATGAATCACCTTACTTTGAATGTTGATTTTTGTCACCTTTGTACTGTGATAAGTCTCTTGTGTTATTTATAGCAACTCTACAAACTGTACTTCTAAAATAATTAACTTGTATATTATAAACTTGTCTCATATTTTAATATTCAGTTCAGTTATATTTTTTGTCTGATGTTAAAATTGGTAGGTCTGTGCCTGGTTGGATGTCAGTGAAAAATGTATGTGTACATTAACTGGCCAAATACAAGCAATTGTACATTTTCCTGGATCTGTAATGGTCTTTAACATATCGGTTTTACACAAGAAAAACCTCATTCATACAAAAAGTTGTTGCGTACAAATGTGTTCAGTTATGGCTAGATGAATGTGATGGTACTGCTGTTTGTAAATATGCTTTTAATAACTCTATGTCCTTTCAGCAATGATACTCATTGTCCGGTACATTCTGTTCTAGTTTTTAATGTCATGTCCATTCTGTTCTAGTTTTAAATGTCAGGTCCATTCTGTTCTAGTTTTTAATGTCAGGTTCATTTGATTCTAGTTTTTAATGTCCGGTCCATTCTGTTCTAGTTTTTAATGTCAGGTCCATTCTGTTCTAGATTTTAATGTCATGTCCATTCGGTTCTAGTTTTAAATGTTATGTCCCTTCAGGTCCAGTTTTGAATATCATGTCTGTTCAGCTTTTTATTTTAAAAATCATCCAATCAGCTTTGTCCATTCAATCTAGCTTCGAATGTCATGTGATTTCAGCTTTTTCTCTTTTGAATGTCATCTCCATTCAGTGCTTTTTTTTCTTGAATGGGTTTGTATGGAATCAAATTTTTTATATTTAATTTGTTTAATGGGTTTGACATTTTCTAATTTCACTACAACATTAAAAAAATCACATAAAAACCTAATTTTTTGAACCCACAGCTTATACCCAAACAATTTGCAAGATTACCAAATAGTGGTTAACTTTAATTTAGGATCAGGGTAGATTTTAAAAATTTACACCAACTTTGTCATCATCAAAATTTAATTTCAAATATAAATCAGTAATTTTTTTTTTAGTTTATAGGTCTTTGATGTAGTTACCTCTTTTTAAATTTTTAAAAATACCTTTTAAGTTTTTAAAAATACCTTTTTAAGTTTTTAAACATACTTTTGTTACTTTTTTTGTATTGAACTTATGGGCCATTACATTTTTTTTTTACTCCACTCTTCAAAAATGTTTATTTTGTTTAAAATCATGTAAATATATGTTATCAATTATTTTAACTTTGATACTTGAAGATTCAAAAGGTCGTAATGTGAGTAACTAAAATGCTTGGGCCCAAAGGTTGTGACCAACTGCTCTAATAACTCGTTTAATGTCCATGTTTTACTGACATTGTCTTTCATGTGTTCATGCTTAGAGTACTTTCAACAGGGTATCATTTCCTTTGACGAATGAGAGAAATCTTTCTATTGGTGCGATTCATTTTATTTGTACTTTCTATTGTAAGTTTATAAAGCATACGTGACCACAATAAACCAGACTCTTCAGCCCCTTTTGTTTATTATATTTGTTTCTAAAGGTCAGCTTAGATTAGGGGTGCCTCACACGTTTTAGGTAAAAATATATTCTGAAAATTATTTTTAGAAAAGTATTTAAATTAAAGGCCTACATTGAAATTTAAATTTTATTTATGAGACTTCATATTTTTAAAAATCATATTGAAATAAATGTTACACCTTTGTTTAACTTTTTAAGTAGAGAATGCCAGTGAAATTAGGTACATTTACCAACTTAGAGTGACATGTCCAGCAATTTGAAGACTGTTTGCATTATGATTAGCACTTTACCAATCAAAACCAATTAATACCTTCCAATAAGAATTTGGTTTTGAATATAATAGTTGACATAATAATTTAAAACTTTATTTTTCATTCAAATTACTTTTGAAAGTTTAGATTGTAAGTAAAATTTCAAATTGGATAGACAATACAGGACTGAAAAGGGAAACTCCTTTACCTTTCCTTAACCGACTGGATGTCAGCAATGACCTGCTCCGCTGTGTGTTAAGTAAAACTTGTTCTTTTTTATTGTGTCTGGGACCATTGAATTGTTTTAAAGTGATTGATAAATGTTGAATAAATTATTGATCCTCTAAAATATTGAATAAATTATTTATCCTCTATTTGTTTGCTTTATTTTTGTTTTGTTTAAGCATTTTATTTTTAATAAATTTATTTTTTAATTTAGATATTAAACATCCTTGGTAAAATACTTTGGGGTGGGCGGAGTCAGGTTGAAGAAAAGTGGCTTGGCATTTGTTTTATTTCTGTAAAATTCAAAACTACATGGGAAAAATCGTAGCCCCCTGCATCACTTATTCAATAAAAGTTTATATTTTCTGTGAGGGGACATGGTCACTCTAGCTTGATTTTGCAGAAGGTATTCCTTGAGTTGTTTCCCTTTCGCAAGGAAAATTCTGGCTCAACTTAAATTACTTGAATTTTTTTAAATCGTAAATCACTATTAATAGTGACAATTTTGACAAATAATTTTGTCAAAAATAATTGATTTTAAAATGTAAAATAACTGAAATACAGTTTAGAAAATAAACTCATTAAAAAAAAATCCGACCCCTTCCCCTACGGCAGTGTCACGTCATTTATGGACCACCTCTTGTCAATGAGTTAATGTAGCCTATAGGATTAAAAATGTCCTCATGAGTCATTTGTGTTCCACTTAACTCATGGCAAAAACATAGGCTTACCTAGTGAAAATTAAGTATGTCTAGATTTGTTTATATTATCCTCAATGTTTTATTTCGATGTAGGCCTTTCACATGGGGAGGGGGGATTTAAATAGGAAACATATAGAAACACCCCCCCCCCCCGAGCAAAGTGTCTAAAAGTTGATTAATTAGGGTTGCCAGATACCTTTTCCGAAAATACTGGACACCTTTCCATCCTTCCCTTCTCAGGTATGCCGCAAAGCAGAAGAAGGGGGGTAAAACATATACTTGTCCAGTATTTATATTTATTTTATCCTGGACAGTCTGCTCAAATACTGGACTGTCCAGTTCAAAACTTGACACCTGGCAACCCTATGATTAATAGATAATCATATAGGTCTAGGTCTAATATCTGTTATCTTGCATAGTTATCTCTCACTTCAATCAACTACATCACAAACTGAAACTGTTAGCTAGCTCTCCTTTCAAATAACTCAATGATACATTTTTAAACTGGACTTGGATTTTTTTTTTTTTTTTTTTGTGCCAAAACATTTCATTCTATTTTGCTAAATTACCTTACGGGGACTTTGCGCTTTTATATCAATATTTGTAATTAATGTAGTAAAAACAAAGTCTAGCTTCTAGTTGATAAACTCTGAGGCAGTAGATTCTTCTAGATCTCACTAGATCTAGATTCTAGATCTCTTAGTTTGTTGGACTCAATTTTTGAGTAAAATGCGACAAGAAATTGCAAGAAATATCTGCGGTCTTAGGCCCGCATCCTTTCTTTTCATTTGGCGCCTCGTCGTTTCAATGTTTCACATTTTAATATTTATCACACCCGCAATTTCTTTTTGGTCATGTGATTGTGACTTTAAAATGGCGATTAATAGATCTAGTCATGCTATCAAAGTTTGGCTGCGGCTTAGTTATTTCATTGCATACTGTTTGTTAGTTTCTTCACAATACGCACCAAATTGGGACTCGTTAGATAAAAGACCGCTTCCAGAATGGTACGATGACGCAAAGTTGGGTATTTTCATTACTTGGGGTGTATATGCAGGTAATTAAATGATCTATGAGTAGATTTAGCAAGCATCACAGGTAAATCTAGATCTAGTAGATCTAGATCTAGAAATCTAGTTCGTGTGTAAATTCTACACTTTAAGCAGGCTACTCGCCGCTACTGCTAGAGAAAGCAACCAGATGTACTAAAACCCAATCGTCTTGTGACCCCTAGTCTTCCTTAATTTTTATAAAGCATTTATTTATTTTGAGTTATTATGAATGATGTGTAAAATATATCATATTTTACGTTGAAATCTACTAGATTCTATAACTTTACTTTTCTCCATTCTGAGAATTAATAAGGCTAACTTCCATGGGTCAACAGATCATAGGCTACTACATCCAATGATTGACCTCACGTGACTTTTGTCATGTGACTTTCAAAATGGCGTATTACATAGACAAATTTAGGATACGATTGAGTGTTTTTGCTGTTGCTATTTCATTAGCTTCCTCTCAATACACACCAAACTGGGATTCTTTGGATAAACGCCCACTCCCAGATTGGTATGACGATGCAAAGTTGGGCATATTCATTCATTGGGGGGTATTTTCAGGTAATTAGTCTATTTTAGTTGTTCATCATTGAGATTCATTAATCACTAATTAATTATTATTAATGAATGTCAGTACTGAGTGATCAACATGTCCTGACTTGCCCAACCTGCTCTTGTCTCTTGATCTAGATCTAGTTAACTCTAGTAATTTACTAGTAAATTCTAGTTGTAGATTTATTTTAAGTTACCTACTACATATTACTAGTATTAGGGGACAGCATGGCCTAACGGTAGAGCACCAGACTATAAACCTGAAAGAAATAACCCAAAGTTTGAATCTGAGTTCAAGTCAGTCAAATGTCACTGAGTCCACCTAGCTCCGATGGGTACCTAACTCACATTAGTAGGGAAAGCGAAGGGGGCTGAACATAGTGCTAACCACATTATCCCTTCCTATCCTGAGGTCAAGAAAAATGAACTCTACTTCATCTGCCTAATACTTTGGCCTACTACATAAAAACATATTACTAGTAATAAAATAATAGTTAAATGATTATGGTTTGATTGATGCTGTTTAGACTCACAATTAAGAGCAAAAATTGTTCAACCTTGATGAGTTGATGACTGATTTGAATGGTTTCTTAAACTTAAACCAGCCTGATAAATTGCATTTTCTATATACTTTGTATTGTATATTGCTCAATGAAAAAGCATAAATGTACCACACTATGCCTAGCTAAAGAAAAAAAAAACACTGAATTAAAATTTTTCTGTTACATTGCTCTTATAACAAAGCACTCCATTGAATCAATATGAAATGCCATTAATCCATTTTAGCCACCAAAATACCACTCCAGTTTGTTTTTGTTACGTATATTTAATAAGAAAAATGTGTTTATAAATAATACATGTTGTTTAAAAAGATAAAAAAGGAGAATGTAAAGAAATCAACCGGCTGACTTGAGCTTACTAAAAATGTTGGTGAAGGTGTAGGGCGGAGAAGATAGGCGGATAACCTTTACTTCATTTACTTACTCTCTACACTGTTAATGCTTAACTCTTTCTGTTACTTTAAATCACTTACTTGTTACAGTTTTAAGGCTACACTTTATCCTTAAACTTAATGGAACTTAACTAAAATTCACTGAAGGTTGCTCTGTGGTAATTTCTTATTACTTTTGCTTTTTTTCATGACTGTTTTTCTCTTCACTTTCTGATTGTTGCTGAAATGAGTTAAACAAGTGTTATTCAATTTCTGCATTGCTTGATCAGTTGCAACTTTTTTGGTTTTTTTTTTTTTTTTTTTGCATGAACTTTGAAACAAGCACAGCCGTTTCCTCATATCTTAAATTTTGCTTGTAACTTAAAGTACTACATTGCTCGCTTGACTGCTCATATCAAAATTGCCAAATGTACCACTGTACCAAGGTACCACTGTGCAAGCATTTTTTAAGTTAAACTGCCTATATGTCGGTGGTTGGTTTATGATCAAATATTGTAGCTCAGAGTAGAGCTAATCCTTATGGCGCAATTTTTGCAAACATAGGAAGTATGTGCTTTTCTGAAGACAATTCAAAAATATTTAATATTAATTCTAATTAGATTTTAAATTGGTTGTTAAAAATAAATTTAAAGATGTCTATATTCAGTTAACCAAGGGAGGTAACTAGATAGCATGTGGTAAACCAATCAATCAGGTGAATGTTCACAATTGTTTACATTTCTTGTAGGTAAGACATTCTAAAAGTAATATAGCTGGAGTGATCTCCCCTAAACTTTATCAAATATTTTCAAGATATAGAAATGATTTTTAATCAGTTTTTACATAGAATCTCGTAGAAAAAAGAAATGCACACTATGTGAACAGCAAATAATTTGTATAATAGTGCGGCATACTAGTACTTTATAAATTTTTTTGACAAATCGGAAATAGCATAAAGCACTACTTTCGGTCAACGGAAATTACTCAAAATTTGACTCTACTTATATATGAAATTTCATTAATCTGTCTGAAACAGTATTCAAGCTACAGGCTTTTCAAAAATCAAAGTAGAATAAGTTCCACTTATGGTTATCGGAAATCGCTGAAAAATTGATACAGAACTACAAATTTGATATAATACCTATATATGAAATTTTATCAACCTAGCTCTAACAGTACTCAAGGTATCATGTTCTCAGACATACACACACACTAGGACATGGAAAAAATTGCAAAAATATGTTTTTCCGACTCAGGGAGGTGTAAAATCGCGACATTTGTGAAAATCACGATTTTGATTTTTTTCACGATTTCAATACTTCCTCTATACTTTGTATACGAGAAAGTAAAAAGGCAAATAATACCCTTTATTCATTCAGAAAATTATAGACATTGTATATAGTAAATGACTGATCATGTTCAAGTTTGGATGGCAACTTGATAACAATCAATTCAGATTGGAGACCATAAGTTGTTTTAAAACTTTAATTTTGTTCTGTTTTTATATTTTTACAATACCTCCTAAATAGAAAAAGACAATACCTGCACATAACATAATTATCTTTAGCTATAATAGTAAAAGCCTTTTTTGCTTAATAATGGCTTTATTGTATTAAAAAGATTTCTGAAATTACTGGTTTAGTAAAGTATTCATTGAGATGCTCATTGTGATGACGCAAGGTTACGTCAAGGGTAGGTCAAGCAGATAGAGGTTAGCAGAAACAGACTAGCGAGTTGGTTAGAGAGACAAATGAAAGTGCAGGAGCTGACCGGTCACATGGGACGGTCAGCTGACCACTGAGGCGTGGGTCAGTAGTTAGATCAGCGGCGCAGATGATAATTAGCTAGCAAAGAGAACGGTCAGAGTTAGGTAGAGAAATGAGAGCAAGGTAAAGACAGTCGGACATATGTAGAGCTAGATACAGTTAGATAGTAGTGGTAGTAGTACAGTGTAGTTTAGTAGGTAGGAAGTTGATTGTGTACAAATGTTAATAAAGAACATTATATTTGGACTGGAACTGTGTGTTGGATCTTTTCATCATCTTCATCACCCCCCCCCCCCCCCACTCTCACATGTGGTGGTGTTGCTGGTTACCCCCACCCTCATACAAGCCCTATAACCATTTATTAAATTATTTTTGTAAACTTTTTTGTTTTTCCTATTAGTTCCTAGCTTTCGGTCGGAATGGTTTTGGTGGGACTGGCAGGGGGCGAAGTACATGGACACTGTTGAGTTTATGGAAAAAAATTACCCACCAGGCTTTACATATGCAGACTTCGGCAAACAATTCACAGCTGAATTCTTCAATGCCCTAGAGTGGGCACAACTCTTCCAAAATGCTGGAGCTAAGTATGGGCCTCATTTAAAAATACATGAACTTACTTGAGTGTAATTGAGATAGATATCTTGTTCTGAATCACAACCCTTGTAGCAGTATTGTGGTATTAAAAGAAACCCAGAAGTGTCAATCACTTTTTCAATCTTACTGTATTTTATTTTACTTTTTGTTTACATTTTGCTTAATTAGGTACATAGTTTTTGTCAGCAAGCATCACGAGGGCTTTACTAACTGGCCTTCCAAGTATTCATGGACATGGAACTCCAAAGACACGGGTCCCAATAGAGACATAGTTGGCAAGTACTGTTTACACTGTATTATAGAATATAGTGTTCAATTTAAAAACACACTGTTAATTTCTAAGTACTCGTACAATAGCAGTAATTACCTGTTTATTTGTTTAACTTTAATGTTATGAATACAGTTTTTGATGAAGTTGTTTAAAATAACACAGGTGAACTTGCTGATGCCATCAAGAACCACACTAACCTCCACTTTGGCTTGTATCATTCTTTGTTTGAATGGTTTCATCCACTATACCTACAGGATAAGAACAACAATTTTACTACTCAAGATTTTGTTAATGTAATCATCTTTCTTTATTCATCAAATATTGTTTTAACATTTTTCAATTACAAGCTCTATAGCTATTTGTCTTATCTAATAATACACAAGTAAATGAGTAAATTGTTAAGACAATAATACACAAGTAAATGAGTAAATTGTTAAGACAATAATACACAAGTAAATGAGTAAATTGTTAAGACAATAATACCCAAGTAAATGAGTAAATTGTTAAGACAATAATACCCAAGTAAATTAGTAAATTGTTAAGACAATAATACACAAGTAAATGAGTAAATTGTTAAGACAATAATACACAAGTAAATGAGTAAATTGTTAAGACAATAATACACAAGTAAATGAGTAAATTGTTAAGACAATAATACACAAGTAAATGTGTAAATTGTTAAGACAATAATACACAAGTAAATGAGTAAATTGTTAAGACAATAATACACAAGTAAATGAGTAAATTGTTAAGACACTAGCAGTAATATTTGTTTTTATAAAACATCTAATTGTATTAATTATAAAAAAAATAATTTATTTTGGGCTGGATGTGAGTAAAATGAAAATATTTCCAATGTGCAGAGTAAAACACTGCCCGAGTTGTACGAACTGGTCAACACTTACAAACCTGATGTTGTGTGGTCAGATGGGGACTGGGAGGCCCCAGACAAGTATTGGAAATCCACTGAGTTTATTGCCTGGTTGTATAACAGCAGGTGAGTCACATCACAGTTTGTTTCCATTTTATTGTTGCCTCTCTCGTCTTTCAGTTGTTCATCATTACATTTTTCATTCTCATATTTTAAAACTGTAAAGCTAGGAATTCATCAATAATTGTTTCTTATAATATTTAGATCTATACATTTCAATTCCTAATTAAATGTTGACGTTAATGACATTCCAATCAATCTTTTATCACTGACCTGCGTCCTGTTGTACAAAATCTCTAGCCCAGTTAAGGACACCGTAGTGACAAATGACAGATGGGGCCAGTCAGTAATGTGCCACCATGGTGGTTTTTACACCTGCACTGACAGGTATAATCCAGGTGAGCAGTTCAGTTTCAGAAACACTTATGTATTTATTTGTTTCATAAAGAAATTAAATTTGAAATTTAACTTAACTTTAAAGGTTACCTGGTATCACATAAATGGGAAAATGCAATGACAATAGATGGCCAATCCTGGGGCTTCAGGAGAAATGCTGATTTGGCTGACATCCTTTCCATAGAGGAACTATTGAAGCAGTTGGTATCAACTGTAAGGTACGTCATGTGACATAACAATTCTTTATCCACTCAGGTAAGAAGATGAATTCTTAGCTCTGAATGACTCTCAGCGTTGAATATCTACTCCATTGTTTTGTGGAAGTGAAATTATGTATCATAGTTTTAGATTATGATAATGCTAGATCATACATATTTTGTTGTTTATTTTTTGTAGCATTTTTGTCTATAATAAAATAAATTATTTTATGTACAAGCATGCACAAAGCAGCTATCTATTGAGAGCTACTTATAAACAGCAGTCTGTGATTACAATATAAAATGAATATTTATTCTGATCATAAACTAATCCGTCATTTGAGTAGACTTGTGCTTTTTTATGATTAAAATAATAATTGACAGAGCTCTTCAATTTTAAAAAATGCAACAATAATTTTGATATTATGTTGGTTACCAAAGGATAACCTAAACTAAATAAGGAATTTTAACTTTCCTAAACTTGTGGTAATTATTTATAATATAGTGGTTGTTAAAACCCAAAATAATGTATGATATGTGTTTAGATGTCTTGATTGTTTGATTTACCCAGCTATCTGTGGGAGGTCATCAACCAATGAGTGAGCCATATGACCAATGGCAATCAATATGTATATGAACTCTTAAAAATGAAATGATGAATCCAAAATTGATTTATAAATAACACATGTACTACTTCAACAAAATAAAGACAAGATAACATGACAGGACTACAATTCTTATACAACCAAGATGAGATTGACTGACAGACTGACAAAAAATTCTCACCATGTGCTATGCAAAAATCTTCTGCTACACAATTACTTATACACCAAACAACACTCAACACTACTTGATATTTTAAACCTTACATTCTTTAAAAAATCATTCACTAGAAATGTGGGCCCCAATAAATATTTTAAAAATGGTCATAGCAATCATTGCCATGGGAAATTTTACCTAAAGTTCTCTGCTTTTTGTAATTATTTGATAATTTTTTTTTATGGTGTGGAATTACCTACATAAACTGATATTGGAATGATTAAAGTCAGTAAAAAATCTCTCATATGTCAAAAAATTATAATTTTAGTGGATGAAATTTAGAAGAAAAAGCCTTTAAAACTCAAATAAAATCACTATTGGGACTACAAATGTGCATCGTGAGTTTGTGTGAGCTGCTAACCACAGTCTCGAGTTTACATCCTGGACTCTAGTCTGTAGGGTGTCCATGATCCCACCCTGCTCTGATGGGTACTTGATTCATGTTAGAGAAAACTAAGGCAGTTGGGCATAGAACTGACCACATTATCCCATTTTAAGCTGAGGTCATCAAAACAGATGAACTTATCTTAATCTGCCTCATGTGAAAAGACGATAAAGGGGCATCATTATTAGGGGCAAAATGAGGCACTAAAAACCCAACTCCAGCATGCCACCAGTTTCTTATAGGCATCCCTTGGGGGGGGGGGGGGGGGGGGGAGAACTATAGATCTGGATACAGAGTATGTGGGGTAATGAGTACTTGTAACCTTGAACTTTCAATATCCTACAGCTGTAATGGAAACATGCTTATGAATGTTGGTCCCACTAGCTATGGAGAGATTACTCCAATTTACCAGGAACGTCTTCTGCAAATGGGATCTTGGCTGAAGGTGAATGGTGAGGCTATTTATGGCTCAAGGCCATGGAAGTTTCAAAATGACACATTGACAAGTGGAGTCTGGTAAGATATTTGTTTTTGTGATTTTTTTCTTTCCCTAGCTCTGTTATTATTGCCAGATAAAACTCTTATGAATTAAACCATATTTATTCTTATATCAGGTACACCCAGAACAATAAAGTCAGCCCTGCAGTTGTGTATGCCATAGCTCTATCTTGGCCAGACTCAAATCAGTTAAATTTGGGAGCCCCAGTTCCATCTGAGCAGACAGAAGTGTCCCTGGTTGGATACAAAGGCCCACCATTCCAATGGAAGCCGTTGTCACCTACAGGAATATCTGTATTCATTCCACCCATCAATTTCAATGATTTGCCTTGCAAGTGGGCGTGGACATTTAAGATAACCTACCTTATGAATTGATCAACACTGCTTCTTTGTGGTTTTGTACTTTATTTTAAGTTATAAATGGTTAAAGAAAACTAATTGTACTAATTGTGTGTAGGACAGTCAATATCTTTAACACAACTACATTTCAGTTGTTTGGTTTGTTTTTTTATATTTATTCACACTTCAGATTTTGCTTTGTTTGATAATTATGCAACAGACTTTCCCACTGGGTTACACAGAATAATTTGAATGCTATTATAAAAGTGAAGAAAAATATTTTATTAACTCTCTCAGAACAGGATGCAACAATTGATTTGATAAACTAGTGCAAACAAATACTTTATTAGATATGTTTTGTTAAACAAAAGCTGGGTTGGTTTTTTTTTCCAACTCAAATCATATGAACAAACTGATTTTGGGTAGTTGAAACTGAATTTAATGGCATCTAAATAAATGTTTTTATAATATAAATATTTTTATTATTTTTTCTTACGTCTCATTTGAAGTCACAGAGTCAGTATTACATTTATATCTGTCAATCTATTGTATTTAACCATGTCTAATTTTTCTTACTTTATAATATGTATAGTATTTCACAATTCGTTGCTAATTTTAATATTATTATGATGCTGGGTAATGGTTTGGATTAGACTTTATGTTGGTTTAGTGTTCAGTTTACATTTTAATGTTAGGTATCCAGCACCTATTATAAATCAAACATAAAACTATTAAAACCCTTTTTAAACACCACATATCCCAAATAATGATGTACAACTTTCCCTTAGACCACCAACCTTCATACAGACAAAATGTTCCTGAAACCTTCAATACAAGTTTTTCATTTTTTAGATAATTTGTTTTTAAATTGATTACTGAAAAAAATTAAAATATCTTCATAACTAACATTGTCAGTGACTTGTAAAAAGATGATCGATTTTGTAATCTTTTGATTCTGGGAATTCAGTTGTTCAACATTTGATTTGATAATTGTTTAAATTTGTTTAGTAAGTTCTGTAGATGATCAGCCCCTCAAACTACATATTACAAGAATACTTTTACATTGCCTTGGAAATTACATTATTTGTACAATTGTTTAAGATGTTTCATATGGATTTGGATTAAGAAACTACTGATGCTAATCTACACAAGTGAGCTTTTGCTTACTTAATAGTTTCCCTAACTAATTACAGTGAACATTTTTATTCCTGTAACTTTTTAAGTTAGATGTGGTGATTTGTTGCAAAGATTTTTTTTTAAATAAAGGATTATGAAAAAATAAGGGACTTCATTTGTAAAAAAGGCATGTGTGAAAAAATTAACAGGCACAAAGTATGGTCAATTTCATTTTATTTAGATAATCTCATTTAGTCAGATAAAAAGTGTATACACAATTAACTTGATAAAAATTGCCCTCAGAGTGCTGGCTAGTATAGCTATGGCATTAAACCATAACTTAAATAAAATTGTTGAAAAAAATGTATGAACTGATGTGCACAATGAAATTAGGCTTAACAATAACATGGTTTAGCATGTGATGGGCAAGTTACAGTCTAACTATTGATAATGACAAAAAGTTCTAAAAATATTAGTAGAAAAACGAACATGAAAATATGCACCCAAAATAAACGTATTAATAATACATAGTTAAAAAAAACCCACTTTTTAAAAAATGTAGAGTCATTGGGATGTAGGCCCGAGTGTTTATAAATAGTGCTCTTTTCCATGAATTTTCATAAACACAAGACAAATGTGCGCAGGGTCACAAAAAAAAAAAAAATGAATGCACATTTGCAATAACTAGAGGGCAGCAACAAAGCCAAGGCAGACAACCATGCCAAAATACATAATTAGAATTTGAGTCAAAGCGATTTTGAAACTGTAAAATTGTGTTGATACCCCAGGCAACACAACTACATTGATTTACAAAAACAAACAGCATGTCGTCCACGTCAGCCTATCCTTCTAATTACTGTGGCCTACAGGGCTAAAAGCCCCGAAATCCCAAGTCCACCTACATAATTCAAATGTTTTCATTATAAAAGAACACAAACATGGCAGTTACAGCTTACAGTGACCACGCATCCATCCATTCATTTGCACATCTTAACTTTTGATTCAACAACAGGAATGCTTGCTCTCATAATTATGTTTAACAATTATGCCTGCTTATAAATGGCTTGTGAAAATTTGTACATAGACACTAGGTGATTTATTACACACTTTGTATGCCAACTCTCAAAATTGTGTGCAACAAAGGTATGTAGTAAATTACCGTAGCATATTTTCAAAAGCTTAATTTAAAAACCCACAACAAATGAAATGAGATGAGAATGCACATAATCAAATTAAAAGATCAGTTTCTTAGGCTGCTCCCAGGTGAAGTCATTTCTACCAAAATGTCCATAACAAGCTGTGTTCTGATAAATGGGCTTGCGGAGGTCCAGTTCCCTGAAGAAAAAAAATAAAATTTTATTCATCTAAGTACCCACCAGAACAGATTTAACACTTTCACCCTTGACAGATGATACATTATATATACCAGCATCACAGTAAGAAGACCTAAATCAGATTTAACAATTTAACCCTGGACAAATGCACTTACAGTCAAAATAATGGCCCCTATAATTTAAATATCTAAAAAATATAACGTGCTAATATTTTCTTTTAATGTAAGAAAATGATGATTTTAACAAGATTTAGGGGCAATAAAGTCTAGAATTTGATTTCCCGACATAATGAAAATACAATGGAAGCTGGGCAATATAAGTATAAAATGACCATATCAATCAATAAAATCGCAACACAAAAGCTAAAACCATATAGATGTCATAAATTCATACAGGGTTCCCACAAATTTTTTTGACAGAAAATTCCCTGCTATTCCAAGTATAAATTTCAAGCTATTAAAAAAAAAATCCCCTGCTATTTTCATATAAATTTCAACACGCATAACCATTGAACATAAACTTGCCAAATTAAATTTAAGTAAACTAAAAAAAGCAGACATTTTTTTAGAGGTGCCACTAATTTTTAAAGTGAATCATATCCTAAACTTCAATCCAAAAAATTATATGAATCAAATGTCTTGAAAAGTAAGTAAGTATTGTCAACTTTTATTTTTAAAAATTTCTGATGCAATATCAAGTTTCAGGGTTTAAAAAAGTTATTTTTATCCATTTAAAAAACCCATCTAAGCCAAGCAGACCTAATCTTATGAAAATGGTAAACACAATATGTATGCTTTTCAAAAAAGCTTGGCCTGCTATTAAAAATTGACGTTATGGCATCCCCCCCACCCCGACCGACAACGCAGATGACTACATCACTTTATCTCCCCTCCCCCCAAAAAATACTATGCTGTATGAAAGCGTGGGCCTACTTGGGGTCACAGAGGGTTCAAGAAAGCCCTATTTACTCCAGTTGTTACAATTTTTATCTCCCCTCCCATGAAATAATTGTAGTTGACCCATATGCAAATGACATTTTTGGTGACATTAGCTGTTTTTTGCACACAAAAAATTTTTTACTCTGTGTTTCACTCAAATTTAGTATCAGTGGCTAACCATAAAATAGTCTGCTAGAACAGTTATCCTTAAAATAGGTAATAATATTAAACAAGACTGTACTCGCGCTATCCTAGTCCTTTAACAAATTTTATTTAGGTCCATCTCTAGACTACACTGCGAGTTTAAATAAGCCACACAAAAAAATATGTAGCCTAAACTTAATTTTAAACCAATCCTGAAAAAAAAAAATGAAAAACACGACGTCACACCAATGTTGGGTAACCCTAAGCTAGCATAGCAGTAGATGTACCATTAAACTGGACAGAAAACAGATCAACAGTAAAAAGGCACCACGAGAACCGGCAGGACTAGTTTTGTGCGCCAAAACTAGTTCACGAGGCGCAGTGAGACTAGCGATTGGATAGGCCTATACCCCGGTCTAAATCCTTCGATACCCGAAAAATCTCCCAGATTTTAAAGATATTTCCTGGCTATTCATGGAAATTCAAGGTTTTCCCGACCAGGAAATTAAATTTTTAAATTCCCGGTTACCCTGTTCAAAACAAGCAATTTTCTATGGGAACATGAAGGAACAGGTAATAAACTGGTAGAGAGAAAATTAATGGTGAAGGAGACAGGAAGCAATGAGAATAATTCGTACAGATAAATCCATGGGAACATGAAATTCTTTTTAATCTTGGCTTTAGAAATATAACGTAGATATTTTACAGTCCAGATCTACTTCGGAGTTAATTCAAAAAATTATAACAAAAAATCCTTACTTGACAATTCTGCCAGGTCGAAGGTCAAAATTGTTCTTTACAATTTCAAGCAGTTGTTTCTCTGATTTCTTTGATGTGCCATAGCTGAACACGGTTATAGACAATGGCTCAGCAATTCCAATGGCATACGAGACCTATAAAAGTATTTTTGTCATGAATAAACAATCCATTTTACTTGTGAAATTGCTTGTTTGCATCTGCTAAACACTATGTATTATTAGATTTTCAGTTTTAAATAAGACTATTACCTGGACCAGCACTCTTTTACATAGACCAGCCTTGACCAAAGACTTTGCCACCCAACGGCAGGCATAAGCAGCAGATCTGTCAACTTTAGAGAAATCTTTACCAGAAAATGCACCACCACCATGAGCACCCCATCCTCCATAGGTATCAACAATAATCTTTCGTCCAGTTAGACCTGCATCACCCTGAGAGAGATATACAAAGTCAAGCCATGATACAAAACATGTTTGCTGAAAACAAAGTACTTGCTACTATACATCTTGTGAATGAAACATACCTGTGGTCCTCCAATAATGAATTTGCCAGAGGGCTGCAAATGATAAACTGTACTGTCGTCTATGTATTTTGAGGGGATAACAGCAGAGATGACCTTTTCCTTTAAATCTTTCCTCAGTTGTTCTAGAGTAACATTTTCATCATGCTGCACTGAGATTACGACTGTGTGTACTCGCTGTGGAACAGCTGCTCCATTTACGTACTTGTATTCTACTGTAACCTGAAAGACAAGCACTTGTTTAGTACTGACTATTCCAGCATTTAACTGGAAATTTGTTCACACAATGAGCTTCATTTAACTTTTTTACCTGTGTCTTTGAATCTGGTCTAGCCCAAGGTAGCACTCCATTACGTCTCAGTTCTGCAATTTTAGCATTTAGCTGATGAGAGAGGACTACAGTAAGAGGCATACACTCTTCTGTCTCATCTGTGGCATATCCAAACATCAATCCCTGGTCACCTGCACCGATATCATCAGAATCTTTGCCACTTTTTTCATGCACACCCTGTGCAATATCAGGGCTCTGTTCCTCCAGCGCAATCAAAACATTGCAAGTTTTGTAGTCAAAACCTGAAAGTGGTGAAAGAAACTTTGCAATTCATCAATATTAAAAATGTTATATTTACTTTATTTAATAAAGTAGAAAAAGTTTTTACGTTTAAAATGTGTGTAGCAAACATGTAAAATGTTACTTTCAAAACAATGCCTGCATAAGATGGTAATTGCTCTAAGTACCCTCTCAGAAAATTAGGGCAAATAATTAAAAGGTTGTTTTTTTTAATTGATTAGCCAGGTAATCAAGAAATGACTGGAGTTTAGGGATGTCAAGAACAAATCTCTTATAGAGTCTGCATTAAATACTTTGTTTTACTAGTCCACTTGCACAAGGGTGTCCTATTGAGGCTAAAAATGTAAGCCTCCTAATTTGCATTTCTGATAATATCAGAATCTTAAAGAGTTAAAATTACTGGTATTCAACTAATATAACTGGCTAATGTCAGTGCTAAACAAAAATATAGCCCAAGTCCTGCCAAAGCAATGACTACAAAGTTACTACTTCTTACTAACAACTAGCAAACATGTTTGGAAGAGCCCAGTCAGACACTAGATTGACAATAGTAAGAGAAATTCTCTTTGCTTTTCTTGATAACTAAAATACCAACATTTAACAGATGATAACTTGTGGCATTAACTACTGTAACACCTAACATACCACCTGTAACGGGTCATTGTGCGGTCAGATTAGAATAGGTTAAAATAGTCTCCAACTTGGGGGAGAGTGCGTGTGTAAGTTCAGTTCACCCTACTGTGTAATAACCCCGGTATGCTTATGTATTGTGATCCCACTGTCGAATGCGGATATAAAAGGGCGAGTGAACGATTGTGGGAGGTCAGCGGGTTAGTTGGTAGCACTTAGGACGAGGGCTACTCTGGAATGTGAATATTTGAGACCAAATAAAAGTATTGAATGTAAACACAAGTCGTTCTTGAGTTGAAACTAACCAGGACGTAACACCACCCTAGTGTTAAATATTGCAATAGAACGCTGTCTTACAGATCAATTAGTCATTCAATGAGTGGTACTTTACCTTTAGAGGAGTCATCATATCCAATTTGTTTGATCGTTTCACGGATGACTTTCTGATAATCAACATTTGCTTTAGATGAAATCTCCCCAGCAACCAATACCATGCCTGTTTTTGTCACAGTCTCACATGCAACCATGGCACTTGGGTCCTGTCTCAAGTGTGCATCTAAAATTGCATCACTAATTTGGTCACAGATCTTATCTGAAGACAAGAAATATAGCCATGAAAAACAAAGGTGTTATAAAACTTAAAAATTATTTCAACATAGCACAGTAGTAAACAAACTGCTGCACATCAATTGTAACAAATTTAATTTGCTCAGGTTTTAAAATTATTGATTCTTTGGATATCAAACACAATTTGAATCTAGATCTAGTGGCCTGATAGTTAAATAGGTACAGAACTTAGAGGCCTACACAGTTTAGCTTTATTTTTTATCTTGATTGACAATCAGGCTATTAGATTTAGACCAACTAAAAATAATAAAATAGATTCTAGATCTAGATCCTTAGGAACCTAATAAAATAACAAAAACCATCAAGAAATTCAGCAAGAAGTCTAGACCTAAAAAATAAAACATAAATCTAGCAAGATCTAGAATCTATAACCTACACTACATTACTGAGATTACTGGATCTAGAATCTAGATCTAGATCTACATGAGAATTATTATGATGCCTGGTTCAGTGGTTGGTTAGGCTTACTTGTTACATTGAGACTATCTATTCTATACTCTAGATCTAGATCTAGATTTAGTCTAAATTATAATTATAAACTTGGTGTTTAATTGTTAGTTGTTACAACTGAAAGCAAGTAAGATTTAAGTTACTTCTAGATCTATTTATTTATTTGCCAGATCTAGGTAATTTTAAAACTAGAAAATCAGCGTGAGGCAATGATAAATGACAAAAACGATAAAACGAAAGTTTAAAATAGTATGTCAACACGTGATTTCAACTGCAAACACTGAAAACTACACATTTACTCGACCCTATTCGCCCTATTCTACCTACAGTCTAGGTCCTAGGTTAGAATTATATTATAAATTTATTCTTTTCTAGATTTTAGAATCTAGTTACTAGATCTAGATCTAGATCTCATTAAGATCTAGATATGATATGATCTAATTCTAAACTAGGATCTCTAGTCTAGTCCTGGACTCTAGATCCTAGATCTATGTCTAGACTCTAGCTTGAGTCTAGGTCTAGATCCAGAGACCGAGTTTAGTTTTCATTGTGTTAGTTAATTTATCAGGCCTAGTCTAAATATTTTTTTTCCCATTACCAGGATGTCCCTCTCCCACAGATTCGGATGTGAATAGAAATGTCCCAATATCATCTTGGCTGCATTCTTCTGCATAATGGTCATTTAATTCCTTGTAATGATTACCATTCCCGTTGGCGACACCGTTAATAGACATTTTATTCTTTCTAGTATTCCCTTTCTGTTGTGGTGGAAAAGAGACCGAATGATATGGCTGTTTTCATTTTATAGGTTTCGCTTAGTCACGTGGTAAAGCATTCTGCCAGCTCATTGGAAGAAATAGACTAATCTAAAAGGGGTGTCAAATAATATAGACTAGTCTGATGTTAATTTATTCATCTTTTCTGTCGTCTCACATACTTACAATAGGCCTAAGTCGTAGCTTAGGCTAAGTCCTAAATGCTAGACCCCCGTTATTTATTACTATTTGGGCGTAAACGTTATGATCTTTATAACTTGACTAAAAATATCGTTGTAGGTATAAATCTACTCGTTATTTTTTTTTATTTCGATCTAATGCTAAGCAGTGGCGGAGCTTCACGAATATGGCGGTAAAGTTATGTTTATTCTAGACCTACTATCTATATATACAAAGCAAAGTTGTCAGGTGCCCGATAGGGAACATCCCGGCGCCGCAGGCGCTTCAAATTTGGCATAAGTCTGCCTTAGGGCGTTACAACACGAGAGCCGGTGTCGGTTGGCCAACAAGTCCACGTAGAGGGGGTCAAAACTGACCTCGACTGACCGGCGCCTTATATGGGCTATATTACGAAAAAAAAACTTTTGCCCGACGACCCCCCTTGAAATTTTGTGAGGTGGTAGGAGAACGCCTAGGGTTGTCACAAAAAAATCGCCATGTCCGGGAAAAATCTGGAAATGGGTCAAAACTGACCAGTTGTATTTCCCTATATAATCTTTGTATTTTATGGGAAAAACACGGTAATTTCAACAAAAATTTCAGGGTACTTACCTTCTGTACATCAGGCTAATTTTTGGCATGCTCTTAGGTAAATGGCTAGGCCGTAGGGCAAACCTGTCTGTTTCAGTCAAAGCCCTCGACGAGGGCTAAAAAGTGACCGAGAGTGAAATTCTCTTTATATGAGCTTATTTACGAAAAAAAAAGTTTGCCCGACGACCCCCTTGAAATTTTGTGAGGTGGTAGGAGAACGCCTATGAGATATACTGTTCGTGGAACATACTTTGCGAACTTTCCAATATTTTCTCTGAAAACGGACTTTAAACACCTAACAACAACAATATTTTCTCTAAAATTAGCAATACTGTTTAAATGTAAGCACTCCACACCTCAGCCACAGAGGCGTAGCGACCCTTCCCGGGGACAAACTTTTCGATTGCAACCCCCCTCGAGATTTCGATTTGCACCCCCCTCAAACTTACGATTTGCACCCCCCCCCTCAAACTTTCGATTTGCACCCCCTCAACCTTTCAATTTATTTTTCCAACCCATTTTGGCGCCCCCTAAAGTCGGCGCCCGGGGACATATGTCCACCCCCCCCCCCCCCCCCCCCCCCCGTTATGCTACTGCTCAGCCATCTCTAAATAATTAAGTATTCAAATTCTCAAATGTGTTTGAAAAACCTAAGCTAAGCTAGGCAGTATGCCTAGTACTCTATAATCTCTCTAAACCAACTCCGAAGACTTAAAGCAACTGCAGCTAGATAGCACTGCAGTGGTTCCCTGTAATCTATAATCTCTCTAAACCAACTCCGAAGACTTAAAGCAACTGCAGCTAGATAGCACTGCAGTGGTTCCCTAACTTGTTCAGCCTACCGCCACATTAAACAAATTTCACACAACGCCAACTTTTAATGGGAGGTAGGCTAGTCCGTCGTTGATGACAAACGCCAGCTCATCTCAATAAAACTACTGTAATTTAATTTTTGATGAGCAGAAGAAAGAAGCGTAGACGTATTGTCATATTATGCTAGGTGTGCGCTTCATTTATAGAGAAAAATTTGACGGGGGGGGGGGGGGGGGGGGGGGGGGTGGGGTGTGCAAATCGAAAGTTTGGGGGGGATGGGGTGCAAATCGAAAGTTTGAAAGTTTGTTCCCTGGAAGGGTCGCTACGCCTCGGGGGGGGGGGGGGGGGTGACACACACACACGCACACACAAACACACACACACACACACATATATATATATATATATATATATATATATATATATATATATATATATATATATATATATATATATATATATATAATATATATATATATATATATATATATATATATATATATATATATATCCCTTTCAGACACAACCTCAAGATTTTTGTACAAAAAATGCACTCCATGTATGGAAAATGGTGTTGTGGTTGACCTGTATCCCTATTGGTAAAGCATAAAAATAATAATTTGAAACTGCGTTAGAGATTTGAAAACATTTTTTTTTTTAATATTGAGAACTCACCCCCCCCCCTCTCCTTTTTTCTCATGTATCATTGAGGGTATCATTATGTAAGATCCACTTCCTGTTTACATTATCTTTGAAATGGTGAAAGCAGTATTTCATCCAGACTTTTTTTCTCCGGGGGGTGGGAACTTGAAGCTTTCGGGGGGGAGGGGGCAACATTTTCCGGGGGGGAGGGGTATAAGTATATAAAATCTCTTTCGTTCGGGGGGGGGGTAGACTTTCTTCGGGTGGGGGGGCCTACTACCCCCTCCCCCCGAAGATATGCCTGAAAGAAACTCTGGGTGAAAGGGGAAGGGGTTTAGGCGGCGCTTCATTTAAGCGAAACAAGGTTTCTATCTCAAATTATATTTAACAAAAACAATCTCAAGACTCTATCGATACATTAGCGAATGAGTGGGCTATAACATGGACTTTAACTAAATTTCTACCGTCCAAAGACATTGTCTTAAGAGCATCTGGTCAAAGCGTTTAGCTCATAGCCATCAACTCTATTCCTCACACCAAACAAGGATAAAAATAACAATCAGAAACAGCTAAGGAAATCAGATTTCTGCTTTTAAAAGTTTAAATAAACTGATAACAAACTGGTTGTGTAGTCCACTTACAACGTCCTAAATGGGCTAACTGGATTTTATGTAAATAATTTCATTGATAAATTCATTTAAATTTCAGTTTACACACTTAAATAAACCGGGAGTGATCTCCCCTAAACTTTCTCGAATATTCTTATATAAAACAACATGGGATGGGAACTCGGGCTATAGACATGATTTTTAATCCATTTTAAATACATAAACTTTTAAAAATAAAATAGAATCTCATAGAAAAAGTATTGCACACCAAGCGAACGCCGAATAAAGATGTTCATAATGGTGCGCAATATTATTAGTACTTTATAAATTTAGATGCGTTTTTGAGAAATCGGAAATAGCGTAAATTAGTACTTCCCGTCAACGGAAATTACTCAAAATTTGACAGATGGTAGAGAATTAGATGTTATACTTACATGTGAAATTTCATTTATCTATCTGAAATAGTACTCAAGTTATAGGCTTTTGAAAAATTCAAAGTAGAAAAAGTACCACTTCCGGTGATCGGAAATCGCTCAAAAGTTGATACGGATCTACGATTTTGATAAAATACTTATATATGAAATTTCATCAACCTAGCTGTAACGGTACTCAAGTTATCGTGTTTACACACACACGCACACACACACACACACACACACACACAGACACACAGACATACGGACAAGATTGCAAAATTATGTTTTTCCGTATCAGTGAGATGTAAAACGTCGAGATTTGTAAAAATCTCGATTTTTTTTTTTTGCACGATTACAAGACTTTCTCTATACTAATACTTCGTATATACGAGAAAGTAAAAAAACACGAAATAAAAGCAAAAATGCCGATTCCTTCACTTCCTTTTAAAATCCAAAAAAGTGTCGCCGCACTTTCTGAGCGGGTCGCTGGCATATATTACCCGAATTATTTAATATAATTAGATGCAAATATATGTATTTTATATTCAGTGCTTCTATGGTTCACATGTTTAATTGTTTAGAGAGGTTTAGATCTTAGGTCTGAAGGAGCGGTTAGCGAGAATTACTTCAACAACCTCAGTAGAAAAAGAATGAAAGTGAACTGCAGATCAAACGAGTTTATCAAACCGTAAATTCTTGGTCAGAAACTGCATTAGTGAATATTTAAAATATTATATTGACACCTACATTTATACATATTATACATGTGCATGTTCATATAACCAACCGCAAATAATCAAATAGGATACATACATTATTAAATATACAAATACTTGTACATAAATAAACAACAATATTATGAGCATTTACCAGAACATACATAAATGTACAAATGCATGTACATATGATATAGATAGCTATATTCGTACACAGTGATAAGGAAGAGCTTATATAAAGACACACCCATATAAATAAATGAATATATATATATATATATATATATATATATATATATATATATATATATATATATATATATATACTTTCTAATCATTAAGCGAACATGCAACGTTGAACATGTAAAGTGTTTCTTTTTCTCTTTTAACCAGCGTTGATGGCCCAGCTGCATAAAGGGAAATAATCCTAAGCACATTGGAAAATGATTGGTTAATAATACACTACTTCTACTTTTCTTAGATCTATATTTTATTTCTATCGACAAATACAAAAAAAAAAGTGTTTATTGCATTAAACGCCTTTACCAGGGCCACGGTGTTTTTCTATACACTTGTACAGCAAGCGATTAAATTTACCTCGTTAGCCCGTTATGCATCGTCCTTGATTGTTAGCGCACAGAACAATCCCACCAATCAACTATTGAATGATAACAACTTCTACACAGAGGAACAAGCTAGAAAATATCCAGCTACGTTCAGAGATATAGAAGACATAATATGTAAGCTTATCTGTAATATTAATATACAAGTCTCTATTTAATTTGCTTTGTATTTTGATCAGCAACAAGTACAGCAGACAATTTGAAATTTAAGCTTTTTGCTTTGTTCAACGTAATATTCACGGCTATTTAAGAAGACTTTCTAATCTTCAATTTGTCGTGGAAGCTCCGAAAATTGTTTGATCTCGTCGACGTTCTATCCATTTTGGGAGCTTTCACCACTTTCTCCGTTTTGTCTCCAACGCCCTCCCCCCTTCCCAAATTGCATACAAAGCTTCTAACCCCCCCCCCCCACACACACACACACACATTTGCCCACTTTGAGAAACACTGATCAATAGCCCAATATATTTAAACAAGTTAATTAAAAAGTCTAGTGACAATTTTAGCGCAATTTCCTTATGTTATCTAAAAATAGCTCTGTCGTAGCGTAAATCAAGAGCAGGGTTAGTAAAACCATTGGTTAGTTATTAAAACGTTTTTTATAAATAAACCTAACTACTAACTAAACTAAGCACCTTGAAATCAAGAGCAGGGTTATTAAAACCATTGGTTAGTTGAACTTGATTATCAACATGATAATCATTAAGATGATAGATCTCTACTTCCGGCATGTATATACAACCACACCACACGCGTCATCACGTTCAATAGATGCGTCATCGCGTTCCATGGCTGCGCCATCACGTTCAGTAGGCGCGCAAGTTAATTAAAAAAGTCTAGTGACATTTATGCGCAATTTCCTTATGTTATCTAAAAATAGCTCTGACGTATAATGATGGGGTGCGTTCAAGCTAGAAGAGCGATCGGTTTGTAGGTGTTTATGTAATTTTAAAATTTGTGACCGAACGAGAGGATATTTTTGAAAACTTTCTTCGGCAATATTGTTCTAAATTATGGCAGGAATCGATTGGTACATGTTTCAAGTCGCTAAGTGGTCTGGTTGCCTAGATATGGGCCAAAAACTGCTTTTTTTTTCGAGTTTTTTTGGCTTTTACGGGAAATACATGAAAGAAACCCGGAATTTTTATGGCCTATGCTCATTCTCGTAACTTGCTTAACATAATTGCTTTTGGAACTAGTCATCGATATTGCTTCGTTGAGGAGGAGATACGACTTAAAGCCCGGACACACATTCATCCATTCATTCATCCATCCATCCATCCATTCCCAGAAATGACGAGTTAATAAACGCAATTCTCCAGAATGGAAATTGCGCTAAAAAATATTTCACAATTAATAAGCCCCATATGTAGTAGCAGTTATTTAATATAAAGTACTCCAAAACCTGCAGTAGCGTAGCGAGGGGGGGGGGGACATATGTCCCCGGGCGCCGACCGTAGGGGGCGCCAAAATGGGTTGAGCGGTGCAAAATGGGGGGTGCAAATCGAAAGTTTGAGGGGGGGTGCAAATCGAAATCTCGAGGGGGGGGGGGGGCAAATCGAAAGTTTGAGGGGGGGGTGCAAATCGAAATCTCGAGGGGGGGGGGGTGCAAATCAAAAAGTTTGTCCCCGGGCGCCGGGAAGGGTCGCTACGCCTCTGAAAACCTGTTGTTCATTATTGTTTGAGTGCAATTTGTTAAAAGGCTAGCCTGTGTGTGTGTGGGGGGGGGGGGGTAGTATATCGAAATGTTATTGGCCTATAATATGAAGTTGCTTGGGTAGGTGAAGGGCCCAAAATGGACTATATCAGAGGCGTAGCGACCTATTCCGGGGCCCGGGGCGAACTGTTAATTTTAAAATCTTTAATAATTACGCATCTATATAGGTATATGAAATTAAAATGATTATAATTTCAACTTTTTGTTTTCAATTTGTTTTCATATGTTATTCAGGCAAACTCGGTAAATAGTATAACCTTTTTGTTTTGTTTACATTGCATCAGTAAACCAGATCTGTATAGTTTTGCCGTAGTTAGAGAATCAAATGGCAAAACAATCAACATCGTTGTATAAATTTTAAATTACCAATAAAATCATAGAGATCTATGAAACAAATGCAAAGTCATTAGGCCTAGATTTTGTTATTTAGTAAAATACTTTAAAAAATAGGCCTAGAATTCTAGATCTAGATTTTAGATCTATTCTGTATTCTAGACTCTAGTAAAAAAAAAGTGTTAAAAAAAAAGTTAAAAAAAAAAAAAAAGTCAAAACTACTCAAAACTTTTGTCGGTCTACTTACTAGATCTAGATCTAACTACTACTATATCTAGATCTACTAGTGCTAGATGATAGATCTAGATCTAAGAATCTAGTACTACTACACACTGAGTGAGTAGTCACTGAGTAGTGTGACTACCACAGACACTACTCTACACTCTGGATTCTAGATCAGGGGTTCCCAACCATGTGCCCGCAGGCGCCATGGCGCCCGCTGAACGATTCGTATGTGCCCGCCTCTCACTATTCGACAGAGACAGAATTTTTTTCATAAACATTAGTTTAAATATGATTTATTTTTATTCATTTGTTACAGTTTTAATTTTGTTTTGACTGCCTAGGTTTATTAAATATGTTTGATACTTGTCCCAACTTGTCTAGCGGCGAGCCAGACTGCACTATTTACGTTTTGTAAATACATTTCTCTGTGTGTATGCAATTTGAAAAAAATGCCAAATAATTTTATTATTTTGAAACATCTTTTTTATTATTTATTAATACATTATGACCAGAGGCGTAGGGGGGGGGGGGGGGGGGAGGGGCGGACCGCACCGGGTGACACCATTTATATATATAGAGAAGAATTTGAGGGGGGTGGGGGTGCAAATCGAAAATTCAAAGTTTGTCCCCGGGAAAGTGCTGCATCAGGTGTCACCTCGACCTCGCTACGCCACTGATTATGACTATAAGAAAATAAGAAAATAAATTATGGGAAATGACAAGTTATGGAAGGAGTTTGTCGATTTAAAATAAGTGGTGCCCGCCACCCTACCGATATTTTAAAATGTGCTCTAGAGTAAAAAAAAGGTTGGGAACCCCTGCTCTAGATCTACAGTGTAGAGTCTACACACTATGTACAGTAGTCTAAAAGTAGTTGTAGGACTACTAGTTACTACTGTACTAGTTACTACTGTACTGTACTAGTAGTAGTAGGGCTAGTGCTAATACATACAGGCAAGACTAAAATAATGACTAGATCTAGATTCTAATGTATTCAAATATTATTTTATAGATCTAGATCTAAGGTGGAAACTAAGACTTAAGTCTAACAGTAACCACGTATAACTAAACAAGGATGATTGACACCAAGGATATCAGAAATTGTAAGAATTAGATCACTAGTCTAGACAATAGACATCTACTTATTACTTATTTATACTCAAATTTGTAGTATGATAGTTAAGTACACAGAATAAAACTGCTGTGCCGTAAAGGAAAATTAGCTATGAATTCCATTTCCTAGCCCAGATTTCTTTAATGCTATTCTCGAATGCATGGTAGTACTACTAGTAGGCCCATAGGCTAGGCTCTTAAGCTTGTATAAACTCACAATAACCCACAAGTGCATTTTTTATATTGCATGGTTTTAGTTTTAGACTAGCGTACGTGTCAGCCGTGGGCTGACACAGTATGTTATAACAATTTCATCATGTACTTTAAATAAATGTAAACAAAGCAGGTGCTATATTCTTGGATCATAGTTGTTGGGGCATGCTATATGATTATGAAAGCCTTGTGTGTATGTTATCAACCTTCTTAATAGTGAGTCAAACACACATCAGCAGCCACCCAGGTGCCAGGGGCAGTGGTTAGCGCTCTGAAGAGCCACCACAGAGGCCTAGGATATATGCTGTGTTAAACAGTTTGGCCCTAGTCATTAGAATGCTCTGAAGAATCACTAGGTTGAATATCTAATTGCTCAGTTGCTGATAAAGGTGTGGGAATAAAAAATAATTTAAAAACCCTGTCATTTAAAGATACCCTAACCCACTGATTGATAAGCTACATTATTGCAGTATTTTAAATCAATTGTTAGAGATACATATTTGTAAAGACAGGAAATAACTAGGTTGATATTTTGGGCTAGGGTGTTGACTAACCTATAAAGTTCTTGGGCTAGATGTGAGTTAAGTGAACTTTATTGTGGTGCTAGTTTTTGTAGAAAATATTTTTACCCCCAGCTAATGTGTAATTTTAAAAGCAGCATAATTTAATAGTTTTACTCATAACATGAAAATACTTTGCCTAAATTTAGTGCTAGTATCCTATAAATTGTGCTTAAGCTTAAGATGCATATTGTAATGGAAATCTTTTGTATCTGTCTAGTTATTTATATTGCTTGTCAAGGATTCTTCCTGACGGCAGTGGTTGCATTATTTCTCAACTGGTTGGTCACCAAGTTCATCAAATTTCATAGTGCTAGGAGGACAGAGGGTAAGTAAGTTTAAAATTTGAAAATCTTTCGTTTATTTTAACATAGGACGTAGATTATTTTTTGAAGGGGTTTCAATAGAAAACAAAGACTTTCAAATGATGTCAGTTTTTATGTAAAGTATTAGCATTATGTTTGGTTTCATATGTTTAAATTTACATTTGGTTAAGTAATTTGGTTATGGTCTGTTTGTTGCCTTTGGTTTAGGGCTAAGTGAGGTATTGATGTACAATACAATTAAAAGCCTGTTTGTTTTATTGAAGAAGTATAATTTTTTATTATGCTAGTACCAGGATGCATTTAAGTTAAAACAATGAATTTGATCTGGACCAGGTAAACAGAGGGAAATCACTTCGTCCTACACTGAACAATGTAAAACCCAAGAGTCAGACTGGAAGCAACAGCTACAGAGGCAGTATGAAACCCAGGTAAGATGTCTTTCATCTTTAAACATGTCTGCCTCCCTTATCCCTGGCTTACTGGTCACTGTTGCTATGGTTTTGTTTGTTTAAAACAGGTATATTTTACATGTAATTTCAGCCATATAATTACAGATGTATTTTACATTTTCCACCAGGCTGAAAGCTATAAAGAGAGAGTTCTGCTGCCCAGAGAAGAGAGTAAGAGGAAAAAGAAAGAGGAAGAGTTCTTGAAATTTTCTGGGCCTTCATGGAAGGGTCAAGGACATGCGCTGGGTGTAATGTCATTTTTGATTGGTTGGTTAAAATAATAATGAAATGATGTTATTTAAATGATTAAAGCTGCTGGTCAGTTCGCTCTGTGATGAAGCTAGTTGTCTAAGAAAAGCAACTGACAGAGAATCTACAGGGTATTATCAATGAAAATGTTCAGAATGTCTAAATCACTGAGTCATGTTGTCTTTGTTGTGTGTAACAATCTTATGTGACGGTTGATCTGTCTCTGGTTTCAGGGTGAGAGTGTGCTATCTGCTGCCCCTGAAGGCCCCAGTGCATCAGCTGGACAAACTGCTGCCCAGCATAGAAGAGTTCTAGAGGACATCAACCAGCAAGTGGCTGATGCTGCTGCTCATGCTGCTGCTGTAGCCAGGCGGCCAAAGAAAGTTGGTTGGCCACTTTTTTCATCTCGTTTACAGCTGGTGGTAGTGAAGGAAGTTATTTCATAAACACAGTGTTCAAATATTATATCAGATAAACACAGTGTTCAACTACTAGGCTACATTAGATAAACACAGTGTTTAAATACTACATCAGACAAACACAGTGTTTAAATGAATCTAGTGAACTAACAATTAGATCCACTAACACAAATATACCACTTCACCATGATTGGATGCTAAAATTAAATTTTTTAACTAATTTAATTAGCATATATTTTAAGCAAGTGTTGTAGTTATTTACTAAAATATTAGTTGTAGTTTTCTAAAATAACCCTATATGTATTAGCTCAAGTTGATTGTTCTAAAATAATTGTTGTAGTTTTCTAAAATAACCCTATATGTATTAGCTCAAGTTGATTATTCTAAAATTATACCAGGTCATCACTCTGCCTGAAGAGCCCGACTCCAATGATGCTGACACAATTACAATAATCTTCCGCACTCCTATTGGTACTATTTGCCAACGTCGGTTTAACGCAAGTGATCAAGTTCAGGTAATGTTGGGATAATATTTTGTTGTAAGGTTTTCATATTTCTAGAATATAATATTTAACACAAGTGATCAAATTCATGTAATGGTGGGATCATACTTTATTGTAAGGTTTTCATATTTCTGGGATATTTTAAAATTTTCCCACCAATCAAAAGTTACATTAAAAAGAACACATCTTTCCCTAGGTTCTCCTAGATTTTATAACAGTTGAAGGCTTCAGTCAGAGAACCTACACTGTAGCCACATCCTACCCGCGCCGAGTTCTACAGGACCCCCAGGCTTGTCTCAGAGATTTCAAGTTCCAGAAAAAAGTTGTCCTCAACATAGAAGAGAGAGACTAGGAGTTAAATCAAGGTCAATTACATCTGAAGTAGTTTAGACTAGGGCACTAAATCAAGTGCAATTACATTTGAAGTAGTTTAGACTAGGCACTAAATCAAGTGCAATTACATTTGAAGTAGTTTAGACTAGGGCACTAAATCAAGTGCAATTACATTTGAAGTAGTTTAGACTAGGGCACTAAATCAAGTGCAATTACATTTGAAGTAGTTTAGACTAGGGCACTAAATCAAGTGCAATTACATTTGAAGTAGTTTAGACTAGGCACTAAATCAAGTGCAATTACATTTGAAGTAGTTTAGACTAGGGCACTAAATCAAGTGCAATTACATTTGAAGTAGTTTAGACTAGGCACTAAATCAAGTGCAATAACATCTGAAGTAGTTTAGACTAGGGGACTAAATAAAGTGCAATTACATCTTAAGTTGTTTTCATACATTTATTTACTTTTGTTTTCAATCAAAATGTATGAATGCAAAAATATCAAACTACTGTTCTAGAATTTTTCGTTTTGAATATTTAAATCTTCATTGCAATGTACATGTATTTCTTTGGGGTTTGATTATAAGGTCATCTATTCAGCCAATATTTTTGTCATGCATAATACTTTATTAATCCCATTTTAAAGGATCTGCATTTCATCCATCTTGTGTAAACATCAAATTTTTGTGGTGATTGCCTATTTGATAAGCTTTCAATTAGTTCACACTGTTTATTAGGTGGGCAAGATGGCAAATTTTGAACCACTTCTAATGTGGTGATTTTGTTCATACAGATATGTTCACCTTAGATAGCAGCACAAGAATATCTATTTTAATATAATTAGATAAATTAGCCATCTGGACCGGGCTGTTAACAAGATAATTGCCTTACAGAAGTTGCGAGATGGTCGGTTTTAAAGACAATATTTTTAGTGGTGCCGACTTCATGAAGAACCTATTATAGTAGAAAATTAAAAAATATAAAATACCTTTAAATCATAATTATAAGCTTTTAACTAAAACAGACTTGTTTTCTTTAATAAAAGCATTCGTCTCTTACATATTTTTGCACCAATGCTTTTATTAAAGAAAGCAAGTTTGTTTCATTTTCTTATGTAACAAAGCTTGGAATTAAATTATAGTTTTTTATATTTGTTTTTATGTTTGTAAATTTGATTTTACCATTACTGCTGAATTCTTTTGAACACGCTGTAATCAAACCTAATTTTTGAACACGCTGTAATCAAACCTAATTTTTGAATACACTGTAATCAAACTTAATTTTTGAATACACTAAAATCAAACTTAATTTTTGAACACACTGTAATCAAACCTAATTTTTGAACACACTGTAATCAAACCTAATTTTTGAACACACTGTAATCAAACCTAATTTTTGAATGCTGTAATCAAACCTAATTTTTGAACACACACTATACTCAAACTACAAAGTTTAACTTAAAAAACCAAATTTAATATTACAGAAATAAAAATTGTATATTTGTGGGGAATGTGATTGTCAATAGGCTGCTCAATGTGGTAAACCACAAACTGAAACTTATTTTTTTAAAAGTTGAGTGTGGCTGGAAACCTGTTTACCACTCCATGTCTTTGATCATCTGTGTGTTTGGTGTTTACATGTTTGCATGGCCTCATTCTCATCTGTGTGTTTGGTGTTTGCATGGCCTCATTCTCACCTGTGTGTGTGGTGTTTACATGTTTGTTTGGCCTCATTCTCATCTGTGTGTTTGGTGTTTGCATGGCCTCATTCTCACCTGTGTGTGTGGTGTTTACATGTTTGTTTGGCCTCATTCTCATCTGTGTGTTTGGTGTTTGCATGGCCTCATTCTCACCTGTGTGTTTGGTGTTTACATGTTTGCTTGGCCTCATTCTCATCTGTGTGTTTGGTGTTTACATGTTTGCTTGGCCTCATTCTCACCTGTGTGTGTGGTGTTTACATGTTTGTTTGGCCTCATTCTCATCTTTGTGTTTGGTGTTTACATGTTTGCTTGGCCTCATTCTCATCTGTGTGTTTGGTGTTTACATGTTTGCTTGGCCTCATTCTCATGTGTGTTTGGTGTTTACATGTTTGCTTGGCCTCATTCTCACCTGTGTGTGTGGTGTTTACATGTTTGTTTGGCCTCATTCTCATCTTTGTGTTTGGTGTTTACATGTTTGCTTGGCCTCATTCTCATCTGTGTGTGTGGTGTTTACATGTTTGCATGGCCTCATTCTCATCTGGGTAGATACATTATTTGGAAATTTTCAGAACTTTTGTGAAAGCAGTCTAAGAATTCTACTTGAAATTGAGACCAAATAACTAGAAAAAAATGTCTGAACATGTAGCAGTAGCATAGTATTGTGATGGCTGTGGTTATTGTGATACTAGGCAATACTTTTATGGCTAAAAATAAAAACTATTTCACTCCATGTATACTTCAATTTATTTTGATTTAATCATTTCATGGTTGGTGTGAGGGGACGGAGGTCGTTTGGGGGGACTGGTTGGTGTGAGGGGACAGTGGTTGGTGTGAGGGAATAGATTGGATTCTAGGGGACAGTGGTGTGTTTGATAAAATATTGAATGTTGTGAGAGAAAACACCACTATGTGAGAGAGGCAACAAATAGTTCAGCACAAACATAAACTCCTGTCTGTCGCTGGGGACCTGTCAGACCCACCTGCCACAAGAGCCTTCACCCACCTGTCAGGTAGTACCATCTGGTCACAAAATGAGTTTTTGATAATGACATTAATTTTTTTTTAAATGACTTAGTTCTGTAGGATCACATGAGTAACCCAGAGAAATGGGTCAGACCATGGATAACTGGGAAATCAAGACTTTTTTTTAACTGAGTCGAACTATACTGTCAATAATTACTAATTAGCTGTTTTTGTTTTGACTTAATGAGTTATTAGCTATAACGGTGGTCGTGGTAGATTGGGGAAAAACATTTAATTTTAAGAACGATTAGCTTGGTGATGATTTTGTCAACATGATGTTGGTGCTATGATGGTTTGTTTTGTTGTGATGTGTTGTTTTATCGATTTGTCATGTCTTTTGTTATTATGTGAGCTAGTGATGAAATAATGCTTTTATGTTAACAAGACAGTATATGGAAGTGCACGACACAAACTGTCATCGATTGCTTGAACTGTGAATATGATCGGGGGGGGGGGGGGGGTAGTTTTTCACCCTCTATTTTTTAATTCATAAATTATTATTACAATATTAGGCCTATTCAGCAAGACCTGTGTATGTATGGGAGGTAACTAGATCGTCTGCTTCTATTCACCTGTTGCATGTTGTTCTTCACTCAGTTGGTTGTTGTCCTTGCCGCCCGTTTTACTGTGAGATTAAGATCAAGCCACAAATTATGTTGTCATTGGGGAAGGGGGTACTCTACATTTAATTTATCACTCTATTGGGGTGTAGAGTGGGTAATCTCCACTCTTTTGGGTGTAGATGGGGTAATCTCCACTCTATTATGGTGTAGAGTGGGTAATCTCCACTCTATAAACATCTAGAAAAGATTTATGGTTAGAAGATGTGAAAAGTGTTTGGAAATGATGTGCGCGGGACACTTCTCGCGCTGTCAAGTGACGATGGTGTAACCTCTAACCTTTACACTGTAAACAATAGCAGGGGGTCATGGCGTCACTCCAAGCCCGAGACATTGGTTGGTAAATTATCTAACTCTGTACCAACTTTCTACAACTAGATTTTAGGTTATCTAACTCTGTACCAACTTTCTACAACTAGATTTTAGGTTATCTAACTCTGTACCAACTTTCTACAAATAGATTTTAGGTTATCTAACTCTGTACCAACTTTCTACAACTAGATTTTAGGTTATCTAACTCTGTACCAACTTTCTACAAATAGATTTTAGGTTATCTAACTCTGTACCAACTTTCTACAACTAGATTTTAGGTTATCTAACTCTCAACCAACTTTCTAAAACTAAGTTTTAAACGTGTGTTTTATTGATGGGAAGACATGTTTTTTTTTGTTTTTATTTTTAGCCCTACAGAGATATTTACCAAGGTTAGGTACTGTGACAAACTGACCAACTTTAAAGACTGTGACTTGTTGATTAGGGTTGGGGGGCCGTGATATGATATATATATATATATATATATATATATATATATATATATATATATATGTATATATATATATATATATATATATATATATATATATATATATATATATGCCCCTATATATATATATATATATATATATATATATATATATATATATATATATATATATATATATATATATATATATATATATATATATATATATATATATATATATATATATGGCAAGCTAAACTGAGCTTCAGTGATCTAATTTATAGGCCGTTTAATTTTTTTAAAATTAATTTTAAAAGTTCAAGAAAAAGAAGATAGCCTGAGTGTAAAATTGCCGTGGTTTGTATATAGGTCAATGAAACAGACCACATTGTTCACGACACTCAAGGTCAAGGCTGACCTGGTTGTCAGACGACTGATAAGACGGGGGGGGGAGGATTATCTCTACCTCTGGGTAGCATAGGCGGGGATTATCTCTACCTCAGGTAATCTTATGTGGTGGGGGGGGGGGGGGACGGGTTACATCTACTGCAGGGTAGCTTATGTGTGTGTGTGTGTGGGGGGGGTATCTCTATCTCAGGGTACCCTATATGTGGGGGGAGGTGTTATCTCAACCTCAGAATAGCTTAGGTGGGGGGGGGTTATCTCAACCTCAGGGTAGCTTATAAGGGGGGGGGGGTTATTTCTACTTCAGGGTAACTTATGTGGGGGGGGGGGGTTATCTCAACCTCAGGGTAGCTTATGTGGGGGGGGGGGGGGGGTTATCTCAACCTCAGGGTAGGTTATGTGGGGGGGGGGTATCTCAACCTCAGGGTAGCTTATGTGGGGGGGGGTTATCTCAACCTCAGGGTAGCTTATGTGGGGGGGGGGGGGGTTATCTCAACCTCAGGGTAGCTTATGTGGGGGGGGGGTTATCTCAACCTCAGGGTAGCTTATGTGGGGGGGTATCTCTACCTCAGGGTAGCTTATGTGGGGGGGGGGGGGGGTTATTTCTACCTCAGGGTAGATTATAAAGGGGGGGGGGTATTTCTACTTCAGGGTAGCTTATGTGGGGGGGGGTTATCTCAACCTCAGGGTAACTTATGTGGGGGGGGGGGGTTATCTCAACCTCAGGGTAGCTTATGTGGGGGGGGGGGGTATCTCAACCTCAGGGTAGCTTATGTGGGGGGTATCTCTACCTCAGGGTAACTTATGTGGGGGGGGGGGTTATCTCAACCTCAGGGTAACTTATGTGGGGGGGGGGGTATCTCTACCTCAGGGTAGCTTATGTGGGGGGTATCTCTACCTCAGGGTAGCTTATGTGGGGGGTATCTCTACCTCAGGGTAGCTTATGTGGGGGGTATCTCTACCTCAGGGTAGCTTATGTGGGGGGTATCTCTACCTCAGGGTAGCTTATGTGGGGGGTATCTCTACCTCAGGGTAGCTTATGTGGGGGGTATCTCTACCTCAGGGTAGCTTTTGTGTGTGTGTGTGGGGGGTATCTCTACCTCAGTATACCCCTAGCACCAATTCTACGGGGGCGCCATATGGGTAAAAAAAATAATTAAAAGGCCATTTTCCGAATTACAGAATTATGCATATAGATTAACCCCTGCAAAGTTTGTTTGATTTGTGTAGTTTTACAACACATCTTTGTGTTTTAGGTTAAGCTCACATTACCAATAGCTAACCTAACCCTAGCTCACTATAGGTCAACTTTGCACTTACTGACCTCTTGATTGTCAGGCCATTTTTTTTGTTTGATCTAGGTAAGCCGATGCTCTCACGGGTCAAAGGTCACTGATCTCAATATCGCATAAAGTAAGAATGTTGTCACTGCCATCTTTAAATATCAGTGGAACACTTGGTCAGTGCGATGGCATGATACAAGTCTACCTAGCTGTCTGCACCACTGTCTCCACCACTGTCTGGACGACTGTCCAGTACATAAATGATCATAAGTATAAGGTCATGACTTATCGGCCGCCCAACACCGACATATAAAGATTTTACTAGGACATTTTACTAGGACATTTTACTTGGACATTTTACAACCACCAGCTAACATTGGAGGACCGTAATAGTTTTAACAATTTTTTAAAACAATTTACTGTTATGGCTTAAGTTTTGTTTTCTGGCATGTAGATGTAAATTTATTGCCAGATTTTTCAAGCATTGTTTGCCAAGCTAAATATTGCAAGAGTAATACATACACACGTATTTAAAGTAAAAAGTAAAATAATATACAGACATATATGATTTGGGGAGGGGGGGGGTTCTACTATTGTTCATCATTTATTGATTTATTTAGAGTGAGCGGCAGCAAGGTCATACACGTTGTTGGAGGTCAAAATGGTGTAGTGGGTAATGGTCACATGTGGTGGATGAGGCCCACTAAATGGACGCCTCTTGTGTGGCTGACATTGGACGCATGTGG